TCCGAGGAGGCGCCCACTGTGACGTCTGAGGAGCGGGGCGCCTTTAAGAAGTCCCGGGATGTGTTTGGCCTGGACTTCGGCACCACCTCAGCCAAGCAGCCCTCCCAGCTGGCCTCCGAGGTAAGGGCCGGGCCCCTCAGTCAGGCCCTGTCACCCGCTGAGCCCCGCTCACAGGTGGGGGAACCAACGCTCCAAGAAGCAAGGAGGCCCCTGCCCAGGCTCAGCCTCCGGGGTCAGCACGGGCCCCTGACCCAGGTGCTGTGTTGGGGAGCCCTGTCCCCTCGTCGTGGCCACGCACGTGGTGCCTCGTGCCTTGCCCCCTGCTGACTCGCCCCCGCCCCCAGCTGCCCAGCGGAAGGCTCTTCCACGCGGCTGCCGTCATCTCAGACGCCATGTACATCTTCGGAGGCACCGTGGACAACAACATCCGCAGCGGGGAGATGTACCGGTTCCAGGTGGGGCTCACGGCAGAGCCGGCGTGGGGAGCCGGGTCCAGAGTGGCCACTGCCGGCCCCTTCCCAGGCTGGGAGGGGTAGGGGGTCCGGGTCAGGTTCCTGCAGGAGCTCGGGGCGTAGCGGTGCGGCCAGCATGCACACAGGTGTCTGGGCAGAGGTCTGGTGCGGGCCCGTGGCTGTGGCGGACTCGGGCGGCAGCTGCTGTCTGCCAGCCAGCCATGATGGCCAGCCCTGCTGTCTATGGTGACCCGGGGTGTGGGCCCATGGCTGCGGCAGACTTGGAGGGCCTGTGGGGTGGGCGGCGGCTGCTCTCTGCCAGCCAGCCATGATGGCCAGCCCTGCTGTCTCTGGTGACCTGGGGTAGGGGGGTCTCCTCCCGCAGTTCTCCTGTTACCCCAAGTGCACGCTGCACGAGGACTACGGGCGGCTGTGGGAGAGCCGCCAGTTCTGCGACGTGGAGTTTGTGCTGGGCGAGGTGGGTGCCTTTCCTGCCGTGCCCACGGGGTGTAGCCGGCCTCCCAGCAAGCGCCCAGGGCGGGGGTCGCGAGCCTTCAGCCGCGCATCGTTGTCCGTACAGAAGGAGGAGTGCGTGCAGGGCCACGTGGCCATTGTCACTGCTCGCAGCCGCTGGCTCCGCCGGAAGATTGTGCAGGCCCGGGAGCGGCTGGCCCAGGTGAGGTGCCCACCGCCCGTGGGGTGCCTCTGAAGGGATCCCCCCACTTTCTTTTTTTTTTTTTTTAATTGATTTATTTGAAAGGCAGAGGTGGAGCGAGAGAGGTCTTCCATCTGCGGGTTCACTCCCAGATGGCTGCAATGACTGGAGCTGGGCCTCCCCAAAGCCAGGAGCCAGGAGCTTCTTGCGGGCTCCCACGTGGGTGGCAGGAGTCTAAGCCCTTGGGCCGTCTTCCGCTGCTTTGCCCAGGGGCATTGCAGGGAGCGGGATCGGAAGTGGAGCAGCCGGGACCTGAACCGGCGCCCATGTGGGCTGTCAGCGGCTTAACCGCTGTGCCGGGTGCCAACCCCAGGGACCCTTTCCCTTTCCCCACAGAAGCTGGAGGAAGAGGCGGCCTCGGCTCCCAGGGAGGCCCCGGGTGCGGCTGGGGCTGGGGCCCGGCTGCCTCTGCTGCACGTGGCCATCCGGGAGGCCGAGGCCCGGCCGTTCGAGGTGCTCATGCAGTTTCTCTACACCGACAAGATCAAATACCCGCGGAAAGGTCCGCCCTGGGTAGGGGGCGGCGCGGGGTGGGAAGGGGGGCGGGCGCGGGCAGCAGCCGCAGCTCTGCATACAGGCGGGGCTCAGAGGCCGCGGTCTGCATCGTGATTAAGGCAGCTGGAGGGCACCTGAGGCCCCTCGCTGCCCTGCCGCGTTCCCGCCCGGCTGCCCCATCCACACTCACTCGTGAAGGGAGCCCCAGGTCCCTCCCCCTCCCCGCCGCTGGCCTTGCCTTCCTCGGGGTCTCAGGGGCTCTTGGGTGCAGGCCACGTGGAGGACGTGCTGCTCATCATGGACGTGTACAAGCTGGCGCTGGGCTTCCAGCTGTGCCGCCTGGAGCAGCTGTGCCGGCAGTACATCGAGGCCTCGGTGGACCTGCAGAACGTTCTGCTAGTGTGCGAGAGCGCCGCCAGGCTGCAGCTGAGCCAGCTCAAGGTGCGGCTCCTCCCCGGGGCGTGGCCGGGGCCACGCAGGGGCGGGGCGCGCTCGGGCCACACCCCACCCCACCCCAGCCCCAGGGCCCTGGGCTGATCTGCCTGTCTGCCCGTCCGCCCCAGGAGCACTGCCTGAACTTCGTGGTGAAGGAGTCGCACTTCAACCAGGTGATCATGATGAAGGAGTTCGAGCGCCTCTCGTCCCCGCTCATCGTGGAGATCGTGCGGCGCAAGCAGCAGCCGCCCCCTCGCGCGCCCTCGGATCAGCCCGGGGACATCGGTAAGGAAGAGGGGGAGGAGTGGGGAGCCAGAGGGGGCACCTGCCCGGTCTGTGGCAGGGACGGGGTGGGTGTGCTGTGGGGTTCCCGGGGGCAGAAAGATGGAGACCCGCCAGCCAGCCCGGGCCGAACCTCTTTCTGGCCTAGCCGGAGGCCTCTGGCTGGAGGCGGCGACGCCCGTGGGGTCCCGGGGCCGGAACCCAAGGCTGCCCCTTCGCTCTGGGTGTTCGGAGGCACCTGCTCAGGGTCCCTCCACACCCCCCCCCCCCAGGCACATCTCTGATCCAGGACATGAAGGCGTACCTGGAGGGGGCGGGCGCGGAGTTCTGTGACATCACGCTGCTGCTGGACGGGCACCCGCGCCCGGCGCACAAGGCCATCCTGGCCGCCCGCTCCAGGTGGGTCGGGGGCGCGGACGGGAGGGCAGCGGGCCCCTGCTGCGCGCGCTGGGCTGCCCAGCCTGAGCCTGCGCACTGCGCACCTGCAGCTACTTTGAGGCCATGTTCCGGTCTTTCATGCCCGAGGCGGGGCAGGTGAACATCTCCATCGGGGAGATGGTGCCCAGCCGGCAGGCCTTCGAGTCCATGCTGCGCTACATCTACTACGGCGAGGTGAACATGCCGCCCGAGGACTCGCTGCATCCTCACGACCCCCGTGCCCCCGGGGGCCGCTGGGGGGGGGAGGGGCGGGGCGGGGCAGCCTGGGCCTGCTGCCTGGCGTGGGAGGATTGCCCAGGGCTCTCCCAAGAGCTCCCTGGAGCAGCCAGGAGAGACGGTGGGTTCTCAGTCACGGCTCCATGCAGCAGGCGAGCAGACGAGGAGAGGTTCCTGAGCCTCACTCCTGTGCGGCCCTGAGCCTGCGGTGTGTGGAGGGGCCCGGGGACAGGCAGGTGCCACGACAAGAGGGCTGTCCCCTAAGATCCCATCATCAGTGACGGCACCTGAGCAGACGGCCCAGCCATGTGTTTCTCAAACTCTGCGCCCATCTGTTGGGTCTCGTGTGCACCCTTTGAGCCCTAGTGGTTCACAGCCTATTGAGAGAGCTGGGCGTGGGCCGGAGCCCTGGCCCCAGGCATGCATGGGGGGGCAGCCACACTGTCTGAGTGGGAGGATGTGGTCCCTTCTCCTATGGTGGGCGGCTCCTTAACCAGCCCCCAGCTACCTGTTCGCGGCCCCCTACTACTACGGCTTCTACAACAACCGGCTGCAGGCCTACTGCAAGCAGAACCTGGAAATGAACGTGACGGTGCAGAACGTGCTGCAGGTAGTGCCCCCCGGGCCCACTGAGGGTGGTCGGGGTGGGGGTCAGGAGACAGCACCTCAGGGTCCCTGCTGTGGCAGATCCTGGAGGCAGCCGACAAGACGCAGGCGCTGGACATGAAGCGACACTGCCTGCACATCATTGTGCACCAGTTCACCAAGGTCAGCCCACCCCAGCCCTCCCTCGCCCTGTCCTCGGAGGCCCCACCCCCACCCCTGCCGGCCTGCGAGCCCGTGTCTGTCTCCCGGCCACCTCCGCAGGTCTCCAAGCTGCCCACGCTGCGGTCGCTGAGCCAGCAGCTGCTCCTGGACATAATCGACTCGCTGGCCTCCCACATCTCCGACAAGCAGTGTGCGGAGCTGGGCGCTGACATCTGAGGGCTTGTAGCACCCTGCCCTGTGCGGACAATGACTGTCCCTGCCTGCGCCGGCCATGCAGTGTGCTTGTGACAGCTGCACCTGCTGGGCCAGGGAGCCCCGCCCCTCCAAGAACAGGTGTCCCAGGGAGATGGTATGGCAGACCCCTCCCTACCTGGCACCCTCCCCTGGGGGGGTTGCCACAGGAGGTGACAGATGACCAGACAATGTGGCTTTGGGAGGCTGGGCCTTGCCCCTGTGGCCTGGGTGTTGTGGATCCAGGCACTGGGGCCCATTGCCTGTTTTGGGGAGAGGACTGTGGCCCTAGAGTCGGCCTGGCCACCCTTGGAGCAGCTTGTGAGCAGAGACCAGTGAGGGGCAGGTGTGGTGTGACTCGAGCCGTGATGGGGCCAGGCCAGCGAGTGTGTCCGGCAGTGGGGGGCACCACTGTGCCTCTCCTGGCTGGCAGGACCCCGTGGGGAGATGCAGGGCTTTCCTCTTCTGCCTGTGCTCTGCATAGCGCCCAGGGGGTTGTGGGCAGGTGGACAGGAGGCCCTGGCAGGCAGGGAGGGAAGCAGCCATGAAGCCAGGAAGGAGCCTGCAGAGGCGCTGGGTGCTGGGGAGGAAGCAGCAGGCAGCTTGGAGTCCCCCTTAGCGGGCCACAGAGCCGGCTGCCCCACGGTTTCCACAGGCTGCGGGTCTCACCACACTCCTGGCAGGCTCATCACAACCCCCTTCCCCAGGGCTGGCTTTGCAAACCCCCACGACGATCCGGTGATCCGCAAGGCCCGCTCCTCACTGCCCCCCACCCCGCGACTGTGAATAAATGAAGTGACCGTCTGGAGCTGGAACACTGTGTCTGAGGCCAGAAAGCTTTCAGCTGGGTGGCAGGTGGGACGGGTGGGATGGGTGAGCCCTGCACTCTGACGCTCCCACCCACGGTCCCAGGGTGAACCCCTGGCAGGCCCAGTGTTTGAGCCCCAACCGAGCTAGGCAACAGCACCTCCTGGAATCCACTTTATTCCGGCGTCCGGCCGCGCCCCCAGCCCCCTCAGGCCATGCTGCTGCCCAGCTGCATGGCGAAGTCCTGCACATGCTCCTTCAGCGTCTGCCGGGCGTCGGCCTGAGCCCGCTTCTCCCGGGCCCGCTCCTGCTGCAGCTTGGTCAGCCGCAGCCGCAGCCGCTGCTCCCGCCGCTTGCAGGCTTGCAGCTGCCGCTGGGCCTTGTCCAGGGCGTCCAAGGCCGCCTCGGCCCGGCGCTTCCAGAGCAGGGCGCTGCCCACCTGGTAGCTGTGCTCGTTCTGGATGTAGGCGCCGGCAGGGGGCGGCAGGCGCAGCATGTAGGCGGACGGGGACACGGGCCGCGGCTCCAGCGGCGAGGGCTGCGCGCTACAGCCCGCCTCGTCCGCCTGGGCGCCCAGCGGGCCCAGCAGGTCTGAGAAGGGGCTGCTCAGGCCGGGCTCCAGCCTCCCAGCGGGCGAGGCTGGCAGCGTGGCGGGCGCCGAGGCCTCTTCCGCAGGGAAGCAGCTGACGTCGGCCGGCGGGGGTGGCGAGAACGGGGTGGTGGGCCCCCGGCCTTCGGCGCAGCTGCGGGGACAGAGAGACAGCCTGCCAGCCGGGCCGGGCTGGGGGTGCGCTCCGCGGGGCTGCCGGGCCTCCGCCCGCCGCACCTACCGCTTCCGGCATCGCCGCAGCCTGCCGATGTCCGGGGGGCCGGGCGGGTAACCGTGCCCTTTGCTCTTGGCGCTGCGGCGCAGCTTGGAAAAAGACTCAAAGATGGTGGGGACCGCGCCCTCCTTCAGCCTGTGGTACCCACTGTGGGGAGGAAGCGGCCTGGTGAGCGGGAGAGCGGGTGCTGCCCCTCAACCCCCCACCGCCCGGTCCCGGCGCTGAGGGTGGTGGAAGGCGACACCACGCTTCCCTGGCTTCCCTGCACGGCTCCCCGAAACTGAGGTGTCTGCAACACTCCATCAGCAGCCCCAAGGGATTCCTGCTGGGAGGGCCGGGCAGCGCTCACGGCGGTAGAGGGACTTTCCGGCCCTGGACCTGCCGGTCCTCACGCGGGCTGCTGGAGGGACCCTCTCGGGAACACACGGCCGCCCCGCCCTGCGCGGGCCTGGCCAGGGGGCCCACCTGATTCCCACCAGCTCAAAGCAGTTCTCTTCGAAGTGTTTGGAGCAGAAGTAGATGTACTCGGATGCCGGGTCCCACAGGCCCTGGCCGCTGGGGTCCAGCCGCTGGCAGTTGGCCAGCCACAGGCCTCGCCTCGGGTTGTCCTTCTTGGGGAGTCTGCGAAGCCGTCAACCAGTGCGTGCATGAGTGCCCGGCAGCTAGAGCAGGCCCCACAGCCGCACCCGCAGCGGCCGAGACCGGCGGGGTACGCGCCAGCCCGCCCGGGCATGGCGACGACTGAGGCCTCGAGACGCCGAGCTCAGGGAAGGGCCAGAAAGCAACGAGCCCAAGCCTGCTGGACCCCACCGCGTCCATCTCTCCTGCACTGGCCTCAATCCCTCCGGAACCCCCCACCCCACCGCCTTCGACTGGCACGCGCCACCCGCAAGTTCAAATCCCGCCAGGGCCCGAAAAAGGTGCGGCGCGCATGCGCAAGGCGCGGCCCCAACAGGCGCCTGCGCAAGGGAGCCCCCGCGCGCGCCACCACGCACGCGCGCTGACCTGTGGAAGGAGATGCCGCGGTTGCGCGTCTCGCGCGTGTCCCGTGTGCAGCAGCCGGCGGCGGAGCAGTGACGCGGCATCTGGGGGAGAGGTGGAAGCTAGGTCGCGGGCGGCCGTCGGGGCCCCGGCTGGCCTCGCGCTCTCAGCCGCCGCCCGCACAGGGTGCCCTGGCCCGTCGGGGCTCCCGCTCCCGGCCCGATCGCGCCCAAACCCAGTCACAGCCCGTGTTCTTGACTCCGGTCGGCGGCACTCACGGTCTCGCCATGGCTGCGCCGCCGAAGTCTCGCGAGGGGTGGCGCGCGGCGGAAGTCGAGACCGTAGACACTCGGGAGCGGGCGGCGCCGGAAGAGGGCGTAGCGGGCGCGCCGCGGGGCGTGGGCGGCCGTCGCGCCTGCGCCGTGCTAGTGCTGTGGGCTCCCGTTGAAATTCCCGTTACGGATGGAGCGGCTGCGGCACGGGCCCCGGCCTCCTCCCGGAAGGCCCCTGACTGAGTCGAGGGTCCCGCCCCCGGCCCGCAGAACCGTGCTGAGCTCCTGGCGGCGCCGGAGACGGGGACTTGAGGGGAGGCGGGCGGGGGCCTCTCGAGACGCGCGGGGCGGGGCTCCGTGGCTCCACCCACGGGGCGGGGCCTGGAGGCGCGGGCTCCGAGTCCGGAGGAAGCCGTCCCCTAGTTGCTAGTCCCGGGAGGGGCGCAGGGGCCGAACTGGCACACACGCTGGAGAAGCTCACGTAGAGTCGCACGGCTCTGCCCGAGACCCGCTTGGACGCACGCGTGTCAGAGTACAGCACACGACAGGCGATGGCTCAGTGCCCAAACTTTAATAGGTAAAATAGGTCCTGCAGTGACCCACTGGGAGGGGACCGCAGGTTCTCAGTACTCCTCCCCCTCCTCGGCCTCCGCCTCCACGGAGTCCACGCCCACCTCCTCGTAATCCTTCTCCAGGGCGGCCAGGTCCTCGCGGGCCTCGGAGAACTCCCCTTCCTCCATGCCTTCGCCCACGTACCAGTGCACGAAGGCCCGCTTGGCGTACATGAGGTCGAACTTGTGGTCCAGGCGGGCCCAGGCCTCGGCGATGGCCGTGGTGTTGCTCAGCATGCACACGGCCCGCTGCACCTTGGCCAGGTCGCCCCCGGGCACCACGGTGGGGGGCTGGTAGTTGATGCCCACCTGCCGGAGGAGGACACAGCAGTCAGAAAGGGCGGCTTACTTCTAAAGACAGGCACTGTGTGCCAGTTGAAAACGGCGCCCTGGGAACAGGCCCTTGGCATAGCAATTAAGACTCTGCTGGGGGGGGGGGGCATTGTGGCTTAGCGTAAGCCACTGCCCCCCGATGCCAGCATCCCATCATGGGCGCTAGTTCGAGTCCCGGATGCTCCACTTGTTTTTGTTTTTAAAGATTTATTTATTTATTTGAAAGTCAGAGTTACAGAAAGGGAGAGGGAGAGATCGTCCATCCGCTTGTTCACTCCCCAGATGGCTGCAATGGCTGGAGCTGTGCTGACCCGAAGCCAGGAGCTTCTTCCGGTTCTCCCACGTGGGTGCAGGGGCCCAAGGGCTTGGGGCATCGTCCACTGCTTTCCCAGACCACAGCGGAGAGCTGGATCAGAAGTGGAGCAGCTGGGACTTGAACTGGTCCCCATATGAGACGCTGGCACTACAGGCAGCTGCTTTAGCTGCTACGCCACAGCGCCAGCCCATGCTCCACTTCTAATCCAGATTCCTGCTAATGTGCCTGGGAAAGCAGCAGATGGCCCAAGTCCTGGGGCCCCTGCACCCATGTGGGAGACCTGGAGGAAGCTCCTGGCTCTGGAAGAGCCCACCTCTGGCAGTTGTGGCCATTTGGGGAGTGAACCAGCAGATGGAAGACCTCTCTCTCTCTGCCTCTGCCTCTCTGCAACTCTGCCTTTCAAATACATAAAACATATCTTGAAAGAAAAAAATAGGTCATCTGTGTCAAGCTGTCATGAAGGGGGCTGAGAGCGTCTAACAAGTGGTGTGTGATCAGAGGAAGCACAGCCCTCCACGTGGGAAAAGGCAGACACACTGCTCTGGGTTTCTCATGTCATTTTCCATCGGAATGATTCTGGAACTCGAAGCTCCCCCAATACACTGGAACTCATCAGAGCTTACAAATGTGGAATCCACAGCTTTGTCTATGGGGAAAATCACTGGGGACAAGGTTAAAAACCAAAGGGCATGAAGATGCAAACCAGGTGTGTCAGGGCACGCAGCCTGCTAATCACAGTACACCTCAGAGACTAGCTTTCTATTAGACATTTACTGAATTAATTTCTAAACTGGTTGTCATTGCAGTCTCCCCATGGGGTGTGGGCGTGGGGACAGCATTCTCCCAGAGGTCTGCTGCCCACTGACGGGGTGACACCTCCCGGCACCAGGCCTACCTTAAAGCCGGTGGGGCACCAGTCCACAAACTGGATGGTGCGCTTGGTCTTGATGGTGGCGATGGCCGCGTTGACGTCCTTCGGGACCACGTCGCCCCTGTACAGCATGCAGCAGGCCATGTACTTGCCGTGGCGAGGGTCGCACTTCACCATCTGATTGGCCGGCTCGAAGCAGGCGTTGGTGATCTCGGCCACGGACAGCTGCTCGTGGTAGGCCTTCTCCGCCGAGATGACCGGGGCGTAGGTGGCCAGCGGGAAGTGGATGCGGGGGTACGGCACCAGGTTGGTCTGGAACTCCGTCAAGTCCACATTCAGGGCCCCGTCAAATCGCAGGGAGGCCGTGATGGACGACACGATCTGCCCGATTAGGCGGTTGAGGTTGGTGTACGTGGGACGCTCGATGTCCAGGTTGCGCCGACAGATGTCATAGATGGCTTCATTGTCCACCATGAAGGCACAGTCGGAATGTTCCAGGGTCGTGTGGGTGGTCAGGATGGAGTTGTACGGCTCCACCACTGCCGTGGAAACCTGCGGCGCTGGGTAGATGGCAAACTCCAGCTTGGACTTCTTGCCATAGTCCACCGACAGCCGCTCCATGAGCAGAGACGCGAACCCGGAGCCGGTGCCGCCCCCAAAGCTGTGGAAGATGAGGAAGCCCTGCAGCCCCGTGCACAGGTCCGCCTGCAAGAAACCACACAGCGTGAGCGGGCCGGGCAGGCCGCGCCGCCCACCTGCCCCCAGCGGGCTCACTTCTCTCGGCCTCTGCAAGTTAACACAGACACAGCCATCCGCGGTGAACACGTGTTAGAACAGAAGCAAAGAAGCGCACGATAAGACCCACGCTGAGTCCCACACGCACCCTCCGCGGAGGCCTCTGCAGACTCGGTCAGGCTCCTGATCCTGGCCTGAGTTTTGGGGAGCGACCTCCCCTGCCAACCCAAGGCTGTGCGGGAGGAGGGCGCCCCCTACCAGTTTGCGGATGCGGTCCAGCACCAGGTCCACGATCTCCTTGCCGATGGTGTAGTGGCCCCTGGCATAATTGTTGGCCGCGTCTTCCTTCCCGGTGATCAGCTGCTCCGGGTGGAACAGCTGCCTGTACGTGCCCGTGCGCACCTCGTCTGCAGAGACACCAGGGAGGCGGGGCCTGCTGTACTCACCGAGACGGCGCGGCCGGCCCTGCTAGTTCCACACAGCACATGCTGTGCCCTGTAGCCCCCACGGCCCAAGTGTCTCAGAAAACGTCTGTGATGCAAAACCACCCATGCAATTCATGGATCTCAGCGGGTGAGTCAACTCACCGAGGGAATCCCAGAGTTCCCTGCTGCTGTGAAGGGACAGCAGCTCTCCCCCCTCACACGGGGACCGCTTTCTTTCAAGGAATAATTTAAAACTGGGCAGTGCCCAGGTCAGTGTGGCTTTGGCTGGGCAGTCCTGTCGGGGTTGCCCAGGTGCTCTGGGCCCCCCAGGCTGTGACACTGTCGTCCCCTGGCACACCCATCTCTCGGCAGCTCTCCTTCACATGACCTTGGGCTCTAAGCTGGGAGAACCACACGAATGCTCTACGCTGACCTTGTCATGTGGGAGATGCACCTCAAGACTCACGCACCAGCACACAGAGCACGGCGGCAGGGAGGGAACCAGCACACACGGGGTCTGCAGAAGCCACCGACCAAGGCCGAGGCAGCCCCCGGCACATCTCTCCGCGGCCCACCGTGTGCCGGCAGAGCAGCTGTGGGTCAGGGGCTGCCGAGTCGCACAGTCAGACTGTGCATCGTGAGCCTTTCGGTTCTCACTCAACAACAGCATGGGCTCCTGCAGCCGTTCTCTCTGCAAGGGAGCCCACGCCGGGCGTCCCACCTCCGGTGCCCGAGCACCTACCGACCACCGTGGGCTCCAGGTCCACAAACACGGCTCTGGGCACGTGCTTGCCCGCCCCCGTCTCACTGAAGAACGTGTTGAACGAGTCATCACCGCCACCGATGGTTTTGTCACTTGGCATCTGACCGTCGGGCTGAATGCCATGTTCAAGGCAGTACAACTCCCAGCAGGCGTTGCCGATCTGGACGCCCGCCTGCCCCACGTGGATAGAGATACACTCGCGCTGGGAACCAGAACATAAACGTGAAACTCGCTCATTGTCAGGCAAGCTGCGCTATAGGGCATGTGAAACCCTTTCATAGTGCATAACGCTTCAGTTTCTAGGGCTTTTTCAACTTTTATTTTCTACAATGGTTAGGTCACCCTTGTATCCTTGCTCACCCTAGCTATTAAGTGCCAGAGTTAGCCCTAGAACCTAAATGTCTGCCATCACACAAAAATCACATTATTTTAAAAGTCGGTGGCCATGTGACATCACCAATGAATCCCCGGGGCCAGCACTGTGGCACAGCAGGTAACGCCGCTGCCTGCAACATCTCCCGTCCCAGCTGCTCCACTTCCGATTCTGCTCCTTGCTAACAGCCTGGGAAGAGCAGTGGAAGATGACCCAAGTTTGGGCTCCTGTCTCCCTCAGGAGACCTGGATGAAGCTACTGCTCCTGGCTTCCGCCTGGCCCAGCCATGGCTGTTGCGGCCTTTTGGGGAGCAAACCAGTGGATGGGAGATCTCTATCTTCCCCCTACTCTCCCTGTAAGTCTGTGTTTCAACTAAGTAACTCTAATTTCAAATAAGTTTTTAAAAGAGACTAAAGAGACAGTGAACTCCCATGTCCTGGTTCACTCCACAACTGCCTAGGAGCAGAAACTCACTCCAGATCTCCCCTGTGGGCAGCAGGAGTCCAGTTACCTCTCAGGGTTTGCACGAGTCAGGACTCAGCAGTCAGAAGCCAGAACTGGGTTTAGAACCTGCTACTCTGTTGTGGGACACGAGCTTGTTAACCGGCATCTTAACTGCTAAACACTCAGCCCCCAATTGTACATTTCTTTAGTAAGCTCTCATCTCAGTAAACACCATTTCCAGGGCAGGCCTCTGGCACAGTACTACTAAAAGGGATGCTCGCACCCATTACCGAGTTCCTGGTTTGAGTCCCCGCGACACTGCTCCGATCCAGCTTCCCACCCTCTGCACCCTGGAAGGCTGCCAAGTGACAGCGCGAGTACCTGGGTCCCTGCCACCCGTGTGGCAGTTCCCGACTGAGTTCCAGGCTCTGGGGCTTGGCCTGCCCCATCCCTGGCTGTCTGTGCGATCTGGGGAGTGAACTAACAGAGGGAACGTTTCCGTCTCTCTTCTCTGCTATGGAGAGAACACTGCTGGGACTGTCTGAGTTGCAAGCTGACACACTAGGATTATTCAGACTTGGGTAGTTATTTAGGATCCTGTGTGTTGTTTTTAACTTTTTTTTTTTTTTTTGACAGAGTGGACAGTGAGAGAGAGAGACAGAGAGAAAGGTCTTCCTTTGCCGTTGGTTCACCCTCCAATGGCCGCTGCAGCAGGTGCGCTGTGCACCGCGCTGATCCGATGGCAGGAGCCAGGTGCTTCTCCAGGTCTCCCATGGGGTGCAGGGCCCAAGCACTTGGGCCATCCTCCACTGCACTCTCTGATCACAGCAGAGAGCTGGCCTGGAAGAGGGGCAACCGGGACAGAATCCGGTGCCCCGACCAGGACTAGAACCCGGTGTGCCGGTGCCGCAAGGCGGAGGATTAGCCTAGTGAGCCGCGGCGCCAGCCCTGTGTGTTGCTTTTAAACAAGTAACTTTTTACTTTAAAGAGTTATTTATTTATACAGAGAGGTAGAGGCGAAGAGAGAGGTCTTCCATCTGCTGGTTCACTCCCCAAATGGCCAGAACAGCTGGAACTGGGCCAATCCAAAGCCAGGAGCTTCTTCTGGGTCTCCCAGTGGGTGCAGGGGCCCAAGGACTTGGGCCATCTTCTGCTTTCCCAGGCCACAGCAGAGAGCTGGATCGGAACTGGAACAGCCAGGACCAGAACCAGCACCCATATGGGATGCCGGCACCGCAGGAGGAGGCTTCACCTGCTATGCTCAGCGCCGCCCCAGTGAATAAGCTTTTTAAAAGCTTCTCAAGGGTGGGCATTTGACACTGGTTAAGATGCCACTTGGCTTCCCACATCCAAATGTCTGGGTTTGAGTTTTGGCTCTGCTCCCAACTCCAGCTTCCTGGGAGGCGGCAGGGGACGGCTCAGGTACTCGGTCTCCTGACGCACACGTGGGAGACCGGCTGCCACCAGGGCTCCAACTTCAGGCTTCGGGCATGGCCCAGCAGCCTTGTCGCGGCCAGCTGGGGAGTGAACCAGCAAATGGAAGATCTTTGTCTTTCACACAAAATGGAGAATACAACTTTTCAGAACTCCTCAGTTGAATTTTTGTTTTAAAAGACCTGGAAAAGGGCAGAATCAGAGCGAGATCTTGCACCTGCTGCTTCACTCCCAAAATGGCTGCAATGGCCAGGGCTGGGCCAGGCCGAAGCCAGGGGCCTGGAACTACTGGGCAGGCCTTGGGCCACCTTCCACTGTCTCCCCAGCGCACGGGCAGGGAGCTGGATCGGCAGTGGAGCGGCCACGCCCGGAAGCGGCGCTCACGAGGCTGCCAGTCCCGAGGCGGGGCGGCCTAACCGCGGCCCACCACAGCGGCCGCTCAGTGGAAACTTCCAACAGGAGGAACAGCCCCGGCCGCAGGCACGAAGGCACTGCGGGCCCTCTAGGCGCAGGGATAAGCAGAGCCCACCGCTGCTCCCAGAGACTGACCACCTGACCCTGCCTGCCTCCATCAGCGCCCCGGCATCACTCGTGAAAACTAAGATCCCTCCCTCCCTCTCGCACCCGGCTGCGGCGGGCGCTCAGCCGCCGACTCCCAGGACAATCCGCCTTCATCCGGTCACCGCTGCCCTCAGACCCGAGAGCACCGGGGCCGCCCGGGGCCGCCCGCGCCCTGCCCCGGTCTTCTCTCCCACCCTCCTCTCTGGCCGCCTCTGTTGCGCCCGCCGGCCTGGGCCCGTCCCGGGACCCTACCATGCTGAACTTCGCCGCTGCCGCCGGACGCCGCTCCTGGGCTTCAACTGCCGCCGGAGCCACCACGGCGCACGCGCGCCCAACCGCCCCGAGCTGCCTCGTGCTGCCCCGGATTCGCTGGGGGGCAGTCATTGGTCCGGAGCCCCTCAAGGCGGGCCAAGGCTCCGGATCCTGCTTCCTATTGGCTGATGCGCGGCCAGCGGATCTGTGGCGCCTTCTGACTGGGTGTGGGTTTGGCGGGAAGGGCGCGGAGTGGCCGACGGCTGCACAGACCCGGGGCCTTCCGGGGGCATCCTCGGACGGTGAGGGCGGAAGCGCTGTGGTGGAGCTTGGGGCGTTGCCGGGCACCCAAGCCCCAGGTGTGCGATTGACTGGAGCAGGAGGAAGTGGGCTGTCCACCCGCTCCCCAGGCAGCCTAGGCTGTTCGCCTCCAGGCTCCTCGTTCGGTCTTTGCAGACATGGCCGCCTCCCAGAGGTCTACATCCCTGTGGACCCAGTCCTGGCACCCTGCTCTCTTTTCTCCCAGCAGGAAAGCCATTCCCGTTCAGCACTCAGGAGACCGGCAGGGTTTGATCGCTGCTTTTAGTGAGAAGGAATGAGTGTCCGGGCCACAGGAGCGGGAGGGTACCCCCTACTCCCAGAAGATGGGGTGGGGTGGGATCGAGTGCCCGCTTTGGTGGACTTCGGAAAAATTGTCAGATTTTTTTCGATTCTTACGGATCATCTTAAATTTATTTATTTTTCTTTTTAATTTGACAGAGTTAGTGAGAGCGAGAGAGAGAGAGGTCTTCTTTCCGTTGGTTCACTCCCCAAATGGCCGCCACGGCCAGCGCTGCGCCGATCCGAAGCCAGGTGCTTCCTCCTGGTCTCCCACGCGGGTGCAGGGACCCAAGGACCTAGGCCATCCTCCACTGCCCTCCCGGGCCACAGCAGAGAGCTGAACTGGAAGAGGAGTAACCAGGACTAGAACCTGGTGCCTATACGGGATGCCGGCACCGCAGGCGGAGGATTAACCTAGTGAGCCACGGCGCCGGCCCCAGGCAGAGACGTAACTACTTGAGCCATAACCTACTGCATCCCAGGATCACATTAGCAGGCAGCTGGATTGGAAGCAGAGTAGCCGGGACTCGAACCAGCACTCTGTTATGGGATGCAGGTATCCCAAGCAGTGGGTTAACCCACTGAGCCACCATGCCTGTTCTACTTTTCCTTTTATAAAATTTATTTATTTAAAAGATTTTCATTTTGTTTGAAGGCAGAGAGACATCTTAAATCCACTGATTCATTCCCCACATGCCCACAACAGATGGGGCTGGACCAGGCCTAAGTCAGCCTGGAACTGCATCCGGGTCTCTCAGGGCCCCAGTTCCTGAGTCATCGCTTGCTGCCTCCACAGGTGCACATCAGGAACAGCTGGATGGGAAGCAAGAGCAGCTGGGGCTCACAACAGGCACTCCTAGGCCGGCGCTGACCCAGCGTAGCAGGCAAAGCTGCAGCCTGCAGTACCAGCATCCAATATGGGCACCGATTCGAGTCCTGGCTGTTCCACTTCTGATCCAGCTCGCTGCTGTGGCCCGGGAGTGCAGTAGAGGATGGCCCAAGTCCTGGGGCCTCTGCACCCACATGGGAGACCCGGAAGAAGTCTCTCCTTCTCTCTGTGTGTAACTCTGACTTTCAAATGAATAAGTCTTTAAAACAAAAACAAAAACAAAAACAAAAACAGGCACTCCTATACGGGACATGGATATTATAACTGCTTTGTCAAACACCCAACTCCAGTCTTTCCCTTTGAAATGCGGCTTTATTGGAATACAATTTACATACTGTACTATTTGTTCATTTAAAGTATACAGTTCCATTGCTTTTACTATATGCACCACAGAACTGTAGAGCCATCACCATAGTCAATTTTGGAACTTTTTTTAATTTATTTTTTAAGGAACACAAATTTCATAAGGACAACATTAGGACTATAGTTATTCTTCCCACCATACCCCCCCTCCCACCTACACTCCACCCCTTCTCCTCCCCCTTCTCTCCTTCCCAGTCCCATTCTCCTTAAGATTCATTTTCGATTAACTTTGTACACAGAAGACCAACTCTATATTAAGTAAAGATTTGAATAATTTGCACACACATGCACACACACAAAAAACTGTTTGAGAACAAGTTTTACAGTGAACAGTGCACAGTGACTCCTGGTGTTTAACAATTAACACTCTTACGTATGACGTCTGGCTCCTGACATGAGCTGCCTAGGCTATGGAAGCCTTTTGAATCCACAATAGAACTTTCTTTTTTTTTTTTTTTTTTTTTTTTTTTTTTTTTTTTTTTTTTTTTGACAGAGAGAGAAAGAGAGAGAGAGAGAGAGAGAGAAAGGTCTTCCTTTCTTTTGGTTTACCTCCCAAATGGCTGCTACAGCTGGGCATTGCGGCTGGCCCGCTGCGCCAATCCGAAGCCAGGAGCCAGGTGCTTCTTCCTGGTCTCCCACATGGGTGCAGGGCCTAAGCACTTGGGCCATCCTCCACTGCCTTCCCGGGCCACAGCAGAAGGCTGGACTGTAAGAGGAGCAACCAGGACTAGAACCTGGCGCCCATATGGGATGCTGGTGCCGCAGGCAGAGGATTAACCAAATAGAAGTTTAAAAAATGTATTTACTTGATTCATTTGAAAGGCATAGTGAGAGAGACAAAGAAGTCTTCCATCTGCTGGTTCACTCCCCAAATGTCCACAGCCATCATGAGCCTGGAACTCCTCCTGCGTCTCCCACATGGCTGGCAGGGGCCCAAGTACTAGGGCCATCTCCTGCTGCCTTCCCAGGTGCATTAGCAAGGGGCTGGATGGGGAGCAGCACTCCGACATGGGATGCCATACGTAAGTGGTGGCTTAACCCACTGTGCCGCAACACCAGCCCCTGGGCTTTCAGTGAATCATGACTGATTGCCTCCCTAAAGGGTTGTGCCAGTCTGTGGGGAGCAACTCGGACTAGACTAAGTTACTCGAATTAAGACTTATTCTATGCATCTGCTCTCCCACAATATGGCGCTGGGAGAGGAGTAAACAGCTTCTACGCAGCTGCCTCCAGTTCAACCAATAAGCAGCAGGACCTACTCCTGATTGGAGGAGAGCAGCGTACTTGGCGTGTGGGTAGCAGAGTTGGGATTGGTGGAAGAGGACTATAAAGGAGGAGAGAGACAACATGCACCAGGAACATCCGGGTAACATCTGAGCAGCCCCCGAGAGAGCCGGCTGGCGGTGTGCCGCTCCCCCGCGGAAGTGGGGAAGGTGGCAGGGGGAACCGCCCTTCCACGGAGGTGGAAGGGATGGCAGCCAACCCAGGAAGAACCAGCAGCAAACCCGGGAAGGGCCGAGCAGACAAAAGAACAGCGCAGGGTCCTGTGTCGTTCCTCCACGAAGAGGGGGAGCGACATAATGGTGCCGTGACTCGGATAGGAAGCCTAGGAGGCATAATGGTGCCGTGACTCAGATAGGAAACCTAGGCAGGGTTTAGTGTCGTTCCTCCGCGAAGAGGGGGAGCGACACCAGTCCACATTTGTTTAAGTAGCATTTGGAAATGCTAGCTGCACACTTCCTTGGAGATTTCCAGTCTCCCCAGCTGGTCAGGACACAGACCCCAGGAGGACAGAGGCTTCCTTGGGCGTCCGCTGTTCTGTGTCCAGCACAACGTGCAGCACGTGGGAGGGGTTTGTGCTGTGTGAATGAGAGCGAACAAAATCCCAGACGATCACCAGGAGGCACGGGGCAGAGAGGAGGGTACGGTGTCCCAGGGACTGCGAACGCCTGGGAGCTTAGCTCCCGGTGGACGGGGTTGGGTGGGTGGGGGTCTCTTTGTTGACACAAGTGTGGGTAGGGTGTGGGCGGTGGAGGAACCCTGCACGTGGAGCAGGAGGCGGCTGATTGGAGGAAATGAGGCCACGCTGCACAGTCACTTAGGGGACGGACGCTGATAGGGAGGGTCTGAAGCCGGGCGGCGATTCCTTCTTAGGCTCCGCTCGGCGAGCACCAGTCTTGATGCAAAGGCCTGGAAGGGTGACCCGCAGCGAGCCAGCGAGGTCGTCAAACTCTCTGTTCACCTGGACATCCTGAGGAGAAACCGTGACAAGGCAGTGGGTGTATTGCTTTCAGAGAACTTGACTTGTTCTTACACACACGCGCACACACACACACACACACACACACGTCTCCAAGAGGCTCTCTCTGGGTCATTTCTCTCCTTTGGGTGACAGTCACATATTCCCCAAGCCACGGGGACGGGAAAGGGGGGCTCTCCTGAGCTCTGTTCCTTCCCCCGGGGGTGGTTATGGTGAGCGTGTGCTGTCTGTGAAACCACACTGCAGGTGTGTGCGCTTTTCAGCATACTTGTGCTTCTCAATTAAAAAAAAAAAAAGGGCTGACTGTGGCACAGCAGGTTAAGCTGCTGCCTACAACACCAGCATCTCAGAAGATCTCCAGGTCCAGTGCCGGCTGCTCCACGTCTTATCCTGCTCCCTTGCTAATGAGCCTGGGGAAAGTAGCAGAGGATGGCCCAAGTACTTGGGCACCTGTCACTCATGTCCGAGACCCGGATGGAGTTCCTGGCTTTTGGCTTCAGCCTGGTCCAGCCCTGGCTACTGTGGCCATTTGGGGAGTGAACCAGCAAATGGAAGATCTTTATCTCTCTGTGTGTAATTCTGCATTTCAAATAAATAAAATAAAAAAATTTTAAGTAAAGCGGTCGAGGAGAAGGCAGTAAGCACTGTCTTCTCTGTGAGTGCCTTCCAGGGTCTGTGCCCTCAGCTAGTGACTCACAGTGACTCTTGGGGGTGGTGTCAGTTCCACATCACATAAAAACAAGGGTGGGGGCCGGCTCTGCGGCTCACTAGGCTAATCCTCCACCTGCGGCACCGGCACCCCGGGTTCTAGTCCTGCTCGGGGCGCCGGATTCTGTTCCGGTTGCCCCTCTTCCAGGCCAGCTCTCTGCTGTGGCCTGGGAAGGCAGTGGAGGATGGCCCAAGTGCTTGGGCCCTGCACCCACGTGGGAGACCAGGAGGAAGCACCTGGCTCCTGGCTTCAGATCGGCGCAGTGCGCCGGCCGTGGCAGCCACTTGGGGGGTCAACCAATGGAAAAGGAAAACCTTTGTCTCTCTCTCTCTCTCACTGTCTAACTCTGCCTGTCAAAACAACAAGAACAACATCAACAACAAGAACAACAAAACAAGGGTGGGGAGGGGCCATTTTGCTTAGCAGGGAAGGCACCCATGTCCCACGCTGGAGCTCCTGGGTCCATTCCCAGCTCTGTCTCCTGCCTCTAGTTTCCTGCTAATGCAGTCCCTGGGAGGCAGTGGAGATTGCGCTACAGCTCGGTCCCTTCCACCCACAGGAAAGGCCTGGATGAGTTCTGCCTCTCAGTTGTGGCATTTTCGGAGTGAGTCACCAAATGGGAGCTCTGTCTCTGCCTCTAAATTAATTTTTTTTTGGTGCTGGCACTGTGGCTGAGCAGGTAAAGATTCCATCTGCAGTCCTGGCATTCCATATGAGTGCTGGTTCGAGTCCCGGCTGCTCTATCTCCGACCCAGCTCCCTGCTAATGCACCTGGGGAAGCAGAAGATGGCCCAAGTACCGGGGCCCCTGCACCCACATGGGAGACCTGGAAGAAGCTCCTGTCACCTGGCTTCAGATTTAGCCCAGCTAGGGGAGTGAACCAGTGGATGGAAGATCTCTCTCTCACTCACTTGCTCTCTGTATCTCTGCCTTTCTTTTTTCTTTCTTTTCTTTTCTTTTCTTTTCTTTTTTTTTTTTTTGACAGGCAGAGTGGACAGTGAGAGAGAGACAGAGAGAAAGGTCTTCCTTTTGCCGTTGGTTCACCCTCCAATGGCCGCCGCGGCCAGCCCACCACGCTGATCCGAAGGCAGAAGCCAGGTGCTTCTCCTGGTCTCCCAGAGGGGCAACCGGGACAGAATTCGGCACCCTGACTGGGACTAGAACCTGGTTTGCCGGTGCTGCAAGGCGGAGGATTAGCCTAGTGAGCCATGGCACCGGCAAAGCCTTTCAAATACATAAATCTTTTTTAAAAAATTTAAATGCAAAATTGAATTGTAAAGGGGACCCAATCTCCCTCACAGTCACAAAGGAGCGTTTTCACCATCACAGTCTACTTGCAAGCAGTCCAGGCCAGGAGCAAAGACAAGAACAGCTTGCACGGTGCTGGCCCTGCAGACCAACGAAGGGTGGCATCGTGTCCCCAGAATCCCACCTTTTCTCACTCAGCCAATGAAGAACTCAGGCAGGGGCCCAAGACAAAAACCACAGCAGGGTCAGCCCAGAGCGGGAGCAGGGCTGGGGTTGGCACGCCCTCACCGCCTGCCTGTGCCACGCTGTGTCGTGGGCAGAGCGCTTCATTTCTCTCACCCCCACTTTCTTCCTCTGAAACAGACCTCCCCGGGCTGTAGGGAGCATCAGAGACCAGGTTTACGACAAAGCTCTTACAGAGACGTCCAGCAGTTCAAGGGCAGATGCAGGGTTGTCCCGGACAGCCTTGAGAAGACCGAAGCAGCCTTCCGTGCGCACAGGGTTCCTGGTCACCTAGGAAACCCACACAAAACAAAGGCAAGCGGGGTTGGGGCAGGCTGGAGTGGGGCGGGGAAGGCTGGCCCCAGGTGTCTCCGTGGGGCCCAGTGCCCTGGATGAGGCTGCCGGGCTGGGGAGGAGAGGCGGGAAGCGGACACCGACCGAGCACCCACCCAGTGTCTAGCTCTATGTTGGGCACCGAAAATACAGACACAAGAAGACGCTGTGGCCCTTACAGAGCTCACTCACGGCCGGGGAGAGGAGAACAGGGCGCACCACAACAATGCAGTGTGATGCGTGCCCTTCTACCCGGGAGAACACACCTGAGGTTACAGGGTTACAGGTGAGGTGGGTGTTTCAGCAACAGCAGCCAGAGCAAAAGTGCAAGTGAAAAACAGCACCGTGTGTGTGTGTGTGTGTGTGTGTGTAGATTTCTGAGCAACTTGGCATGAGAACCGTGAACTTGGGAGAGGTTGTTAGCAGGACCCAGATTCCCACAAGCCCTGCTGTGATTCATCCAGTGGGGACCTGCTGAAGGATTTAGTGCGGGGAGTGACTGGGAGGTGGGAAAGTGAAAAGAGGCTGGAGCCCGCAGCCTGAGCACTCACTCTGTAGGAGGGGACAGGCTAGGAGGGAAGATGGGGTGGGGTGGGGGGATGGGTCCAGCCCTGGGCCTCAGCTTCCATCCTGAGGAACGGCAGCCCTGAGAGCAGTGATGGGTTCAGGCTGGCCTCTCAGAGCTGACTTGACGGTGGCACTTTAGAGGGGGACTGTCCAGTAGGTGGCTGGGAACGCAGATCCGGGCTTGAGGGTGAAGTCTGGATTCCTGCTGTGGGGGAGGTGGGAGAGCTATGGCGAAGCCCGAGGGTGGGCAGCGGAGGGCAAGGCAGAGCCGGATGCCCCTGCAGCGGGCGTGACTGTCCCCCAGCACGTGCTGCTGGCACAGTGGTCCTCCCACACCCATGCCACCCTCACCTGGCTCCTTCCCTTCTCTGTCTCAGAACCCCTGCTGGGCACACAGGACCTCAGGGAGGCTCTGAGCAGTGCCCAGCAGTCAAGACTGGCCCTGGCTTCCATGGGGGTGTGCAGGAAAAGCAGCGAAGAAGACGGGGCAGCACGGGGAGCCCCAGCCACCCTCCGCATCTCAGCGGGCTGGGGAGCAAGCGCAGAGAGGAGGATGGGGAGCCACTGTTCAGGGCGGAGAGAGGAAGACAATGAAGAACAGTCACTGGCCCGATGGCAGGTGGGGGTGTGGAGGGCAGGGGGAGGAAGCGGCCCCAGGAGGAAGCCAGAGACCACCCCCACTACAACTTGGACCCTGGAGCCTGTGTACCCCGCCCTTTTGCTACCCTTGGGATGGGGGGACGTGGCAGGGGAGGGATCGGGGTGTTGGGGCCTCCCCACTCAGATTCCCACTCACGACAAGAATCCTTAGGGTCTGGTTGACCCGGAGGCCCAGGCCCAGGCTCTGGGCTCCAGCTGCAGAGATGCGGTTGTTGCTGTAACAGAAGACAGTGGCGCTGAGCCCCCTGGCCCAGGGTCCCCGCTGGAGCTGCAGCCGAATCCAGCAGGTTCACGTCTACATTCTAGGCCTCTGTCCACCCCCAGGGCTTCGGCGGCCAATGTGGAAAAGATGGCCAAGATGTTGCCTCCCAGGGTGCAGGGGCTCTCAGGCAGCAAACGCACGCAGAGGCCTGCCCGCCACCCTCCTGCCCCAGGTCTCCACCAGCTGCTGCTTCTGGCCCACTGAGCTCATTAGGCCCGCCCACATGCTCTGGCCCAGCTGGGCCCGTCCCTGTCACCATGACAGCATCTGTTCTGGAAAAACACACGGCTTCCTGTCCATGTCCTTTCCTCCTGCTGGACCCAAACTGCAGATCTCAGCGCTGCTGTGAGTCACTTTGTCTTCGGAGCCACTCCCACTTCTTTTTAAAGATTGTATGTATTTCCATTTTACTTGAAAGGCAGACACACACACACACACACACAGCTTTCATCTACTAGTTCCCTCCTCAATTACCTGCAATCACCAGGGCTGGGCCAGGCCAAAGCCAGGAACCCAGATTCTCCATCTGGGTCTTCTGTGTGGCTGGCAGGGACCCAGAAGTCCTTGGCCATCACCTGCTGCCTCCCAGGCACACTGGCAGGAAGCTGGATCAGAAGCAAAGGAGCTGGCACTCTAACGTGGGATGAGGGCGGCCCAAACAGGGACTCCATCCGTCCAACTCCCACTTCTGTACCTTGAATCTCAGCATCTCTTGTGGAGGCCAACAGCCTTGGCTCATCCCATGGGCAAGAAGAGGGGGCAAGATCAAGGGGACCTCCTTGCCCACAGGGGAGGGGCATGGCCTGCCTGGACTCTGTCTCTTTCCTTCTCTCACGCCCCATTCCTCATCCCTGTCCGTGGTTACCTGCCAATGCTGAGACCCCATTTGACTGGGAAGGGTGCCTCACACAGCGTAGGCACCTAGCCATCACATGTTTTCTGTTTTGTTTTTTATTTATGTATTTTATTTGAAAGGCAGAGTTACAGAGAGAGAGAGTGAGAGAGACAGAGACAGAGATGTTTCATCCACTGGTTCACTCCCCAAAAGACCGCGACAGCCGGGGCTGGGCCAGGCTGAAGCCAGGAGCCAGGAGGTTTTTTTTGGGTCTCCCACATGATTGGCAGGGGCCAAAGCAAGTTGGGCCATCCTCTGCTGCTTTTCCCAGGCCATGAGAAGGGAGCTGGATGGGAAGTGGAGCAGCCGGGACTCAAACTAGCGCCCATATGGGGTGCCAGCGCTGGAGGCGGCCACTTTACCTGTTATGTCATGAGGCCGCCCCCTCGCATGTTGAGGCAAGCACATGCACCAGCCACAGTGGCGGGCCCTGCCAGGCCTGCACTGAGACCTGTGACGATGCGTCTCGCTCACAGCTTCGTGACCCCCCACCTCTACTTCAGTCACAAGTCTCAATGTGTAAATCATGAGGTTGAGTAAAAAAGACAGAGCTGGGTACTTAGGAATTGTGGCTCAAGCCCCATCCTGGGTAGACTGTGGTTGATCTGGAAATTAAAGAGATTTGGTGTGGGGGGCTGGCTCTGTGGCACAGCGAGTTAAGCTGCCACCTGTGATGCTGGCATCCCATATTGGATACCAGAGCACCAGTTGGAGTCCCAGCTGCTCCACTTCCAATCCAGTTCTCTGCCAATGCACCTGAGAAAGCAACAGAAGATGGCCCAAGTACCTGGGCCCTTGCCACCCATATGGGAGACCCATGTGGGAGACCAGGTTTCTTCCTTTGGCCTGGTCCAGCCCTGGCCATTGTGACCATTTGGGGAATGAACTAGCAGATGCAAGATCTCTCTGTCTCTTCTGCTGTCTCTCTCACTCTGCCTTTCAAATAAATAAAAATAAATCTTGGTGTTGCGGCACAACAGGTTAAACCACTGCCCATGAGACCAGCATCCCTTATGAGTGCTGGCTCCAGCCCCAGCTGCTCCACTTCTGACCCAGCTTACCTGCTAATGTGCCTAGGAAAGCAGTGGAGGAAGGTCCAAGTGCCTGAGCCTCAGCCACCCATGTGGGAGACCTGCATGGAGTTCCTGGTTCCTGCCTTGAGCTCGGCCCAGTCCTGGCTATTGTGGGCATTTGGGGAGTGAGCCAGCAAACGGAAGATCTGTCTCCTCGTTTCTCTTTGTTACTCTGCCTTTTTTTTTGACAGGCAGAGTTAGTGAGAGAGAGAAAGACAGAGTGAAAGGTCTTCGTTTAGTTGGTCCACCCCCCAAATGGCCACTATGGCTGGCACGCTGCGCCAATCCGAAGCCAGGAGCCAGGTACTTCCTCCTGGTCTCCCATGTGGGTACAGGGCCCAAGCACCTGGGCCATCCTCCACTGCCTTCCCGGGCCACAGCAGAGAACTGGACTGGAAGCGGAGCAACCAGGACAGAATCTGGTGCCCCAACCGGGACTAGAACCCAGGGTACCAGCGCCGCAGGTGGAGGATTAGCCTAGTGAGTTGCGACACCGGCCTGTTACTCTGCCTTTCAAATAAATAATAAAAAAATTTTAAATGGCCCTGGGGTCCCTGGGGCAGCACCTGGTGCTCCTCACCTCATGTTGAGTTCCTCCAGCACGTTGTTGGTCTTGAGGGCCTCACCCACTGCAGAGGCTCCAGGGTCCCCAAAGCCATTGTGTGAGACATCCAGAACTTTAAGGAAGATGTTTGCCTGGAACAACAAAGAGCAGGCCACAGGGCCAGATCCCACCACGGAAAATGCCAGGCTGGCCACGACCCTTGAGCTCAGGAGGCCCGAGGTACACAGTGTGGAAGGACACTGCCCCCCCTGCCCCCATTAGCGTGGCTCGGACAGTGGTGAGCAGATCTGAATGGCCCCAACAGGGGATGGCGATGTGTAGATGCGACGGACCACCCAGAGACCAAGCAGCTCCAGGTCCCGGAGACACAGTGATCAGACTCCACACCCACTTGGGGTACGGAGGGCAGGGCCCTGGGACACAGAGCAGTCCCAAGGGCCCAGCAGAGGCCCCAGGGCAGGGATGTGCACTCTGGGAAAACAGCCTCACCTGCCGCCTTGTGGGACAGGGCAGCAGCTGTCATTCTCCAAAGATGACCCCACAAAGTTGGTGGCACTGGGGACACTGGAGGCACCTTGTGCCACCCTGGCAGGCTGGAGCCACCCATGGCCACAGCCCGTGAGCAGCAACATCCAGGGAGTAGGTGGGATGTCTTGCGAGGCGTTCAAGGGAACACGGGGGACGTCTTGTTGGGGTCGCATCTGCATCGGCCCCAACAGTGAGCCTGCGTCACCAGAGTGCACAGATGTGTCGCAAAGTCTGGGAGAGGGGCATGACACACAGTTGGGGACCCTTGGGTGAATGACCTATTACAGTCCTTAGATGGGAGCAGAGCAAATTAAAGTTCCCTAAAGAAAAACCCTTTGAGCTCTGTTGGAAGAACCAAGGTTCCTTTCTGAAGAGTGGCAAAGACAAGCAGCTGGTCCCTGGGACACTTGCCCCAGAGGGCATGCCTGAGGGACCACCTACACGTGGGCCTCGTACCTCTAGTGCCCTGGCAAATGCTACGGCTCCCGGGCCTCGGAGGTGATTCCAGCTTAGGTTAAGCTCAGTGAGTCCTGTGTTTTCTGCCAGAGCTGGTGCAAGGGTCTCCCCTTTAGAAACAACAAGGGAGACCTTCTTAGTCACTCTGTCCATTCCTTCAGAAAACCATACTGCCGGGGGGTCTTTAGCCTAGCGTTGGAGACACCCACAGCCTGGGTTCAATTCCTGGCTCTGGCTCCAGTTCCAGAGTCCGGCTTTCTACTAAGGCAGACCCTGAGAGGCAGCGGCTGATGGTTCAAGTGCTTGGGTCCCTGCCACCCCTGTGGGAGACCAGGATTGAGATCCTGGCTTCAGCCTGGCCAGACCCCAGCTGTTGCAGGCCACTGCAGAATGGGTCAGTAGCTGGGAGTTCTCTGTCTCTACCTCTCAAATACATTTTTTCTTTTTTTTTTCTTTCTTTCTTTCTTTCTTTCTTTCTTTCTTTCTTTCTTTTCTTTTTCTTTTTTCTTTTTTCTTTTTTCTTTTTTTGACAGGCAGAGTGGACAGTGAGAGAGAGACAGAGAGAAAGGTCTTCCTTTTCCATTGGTTCACCCCGCAATGGCTGCTGCAGCTGCTGCACCGCGCTGATCCAAAGGCAGAGCCAGGTGCTTCTCCTGGTCTCCCATGGGGTGCAGGGCCCAAGCACTTGGGTCATCCTCCACTGCACTCCCAGGCCACAGCAGAGAGCTGGCCTGGAAGAGGAGCAACCGGGACAGAACCGGTGCCCCAACTGGGTCTAGAACCCGGGGTGCCGGCGCCACAGGCAGAGGATTAGCCTAGTGAGCCATGGCGCTGGCCTCAAATACATTTTTTTTAAAGAGACCTTGGGGCTGGCACTGTGCCGTAGTGGGTAGAGCCGCTGCCTGCAGTGCCAGCATCCCATATGGACGCCCGTTTGAGTCCCAGCTGCTCCACTTCCAATCCAGCTCCTTGCTATGGCCTGGGAAAACAGTGGAAGATGCCCCAAGTCCTTGGGCCCCCGCATCCAGTGGGAGACCTGGAAGAAGCTCCTGGATCCTGGCTTCGGATCAGCCCCGCTCTGATCGTTGCAGCCATCTGGAGAACGAACCAGTGGGTAGAACACCGTGGCCCCCACCTCTGCCTCTCTGTAACTCTGTCTTTCAAATAAATCTTTAAGTGGGAGGGGGGGCGCTGTGGCTCACTTGGTAAATCCTCCGCCTGCGGCGCCAGCATCCTATATGGGCACCAGTTCTAGTTCCAGCTGCTCCTCTTCCAGTCCAGCTCTCTGCTGTGGCCCGGGAAGGCAGTGGAGGATGGCCCAGGTGCTTGGACCCTGCACCCGTATGGGAGACCGGGGGGGAGGCCCCTGGCTCCTGGCTTCGGATTGGCGAGGTTCCAGCCATTGTGGCCATTTGGGGGGTGAACCAATGTCAAATAAAGAGAGAGAGAGAGAGAGAGAGAGAGAGAGAGAGCGCTTGGGCTGGGAGACCTTGGAGTGCTGGAGCCGTAGTCTGGGTGAAAGGTGACAAAGCTGGCACATGTGTGGTGTGGATAAGGTAGAGATGATAGAGAAAGCAAGGGGATGGTGCTGGGCAAAGAAACCCTGGGGGAGAGTTAGCCTGTAAACCAGGAAGCATCCCAGCCCCGGGTCTGCTCTCCCCTCTGTCATCACTCGGCCAGTCTGACCTGCTCCCCGTCCCTGTACACCAGCACTGCGCCAAGAGCCCTTCATCTGTGCAAGAGCCAAGCTCACGCCTTGCCCGCCCAGCCCCACGTCCACCGTGCTCCCACTCTTCCAGGATCCGACTCATCGCTGCCTGGCCGGTCTCTGCCCCCAGGCTGGGAGTCCCTCCTCCTGGATCTGACCCAGCACAGGTCTCATGAGATTTGCTTGAAAAGGAAAAAAGAAAAAAGAAAAGAATGCAAGGAAGAAAAAAACCGATGGCTCAACCAGAGCTGGGCCAGCTGCGTGGCAGCTGACGCTTTTAGCACCTTGGAGAGCTCCCTGCACTGCAGAGGGAGGGGAGGACTCCGCCCTGGCCCAGGGCGCCCAGGATGGGCCCCGCATCTGATACCTGTAGGCTCTCATACCAGGGAAGCTTCCTGCTTCCACAGAATTGGGAGGGGCGGCCAGCGGTGCCCCCTTTTGCGGGGAAGCCTCTCCTTGGCTGAATAGCTGAAGGGTGAGAAGGTTCTTTCTTCCACAGGCCGAAACCCTGCCAGTGCTTGGTCTCATGAGCCCTGAAGCCACCCTTTGGCAGCAGCAGCACTGTCACCATGGATCAAGCCTCTCACCCCCAGGGGAATTGGGCCCAGCCACAGAACCCCTCTCAGGAAAACAAGGGGGCCGCATGAGCCCATCCTTCCCCCAGCCCCACCCTGCCTCCCCCCACCCAGTGCATGCGTGTGAGTTTTTGCAGCAGTGGCAGGATCTCTGCCCACACACAGGCCTAGAGACCTCGAGAGACACCTCTATTTATTGTAGCCAAGTCTCTCAAGTCCGCCTCTCTTTCATTTCAAGACTCCCCGCTCTAATGTTCTCAGACTGGCTCTGGAAGTTTCTCACAGGCCAAGGCTTGTGCCGCCTACCTCGTTCAGAGCAGCCTGAGACAAAGCCGCTATTCTTGGATCTTCCACATGAGACAATTCTCCTGGGACATCCATTAAAATGCAGATCTACAGGCACTTCCTCAACAGTATGGTTCAGCTGGTCCAGGGCCCAGGATCCTGTATTCTTAATGCAGGGTCCCAGGTGGATTTTTTTTTTTGGATTATTTTATTTGAAAGGCAGAGTTAGACATACACACATACACAAACACACACACACAGAAATATCTTCTATCTTCTAGCTCACTCCCTAAATGGCTCCAACACCCAGGGCTGGGCCAGGCTGAAGCCGGGAGCCAGGAGCCAGGAGCCAGGAGCGTCTTCCCGGTCTCCCACATAGGTGCAGGGTCTCAAGCACTTGGGCCATCTTCCGCTGCTTTTCTCAGGTGCATGAGGGAGCTGGATTGGAAGTAGAGCAGCTGAGAATCAAACTGGCGCCCATGTGAGATGCTAGCATTGCAGGTGGCACTTAATCTGCTACTCCATAGCACTGCCCTCCCTTTTAAAGAGAATCATTTTATTTGAAAGGCAGAGTTACAGAGAGAGAGAGAGAGAGAGAGACAGAGACAGAGACAGAGAGAGCAAGCCACCTTCCATCTGTTGGTTGACTCCCCAGACAGCCGTGGCTGTGCCAGGCCAAAGCCTGAAGCCAGGAGCTTCATCTGGGTCTCCCATGTGGGTGCAGGGGCCCAAGGACTTGGGCCATCTTCCACTGCTTTCCCCAGGTGCATTAGCAGGGAGCTGGATCAGAAGTGGAGCATCTGAGACTCAAACCAGAGCCCATAAGGGATACTGGTGTTGCAGGCAGCAGCTTAATCCATTATGCACAACACTACCCTTTCCTCTCTCCTGCAGGTGATTCTTATGATTGATTGGAACATCTGGGGATGGGCACGTAGCAGTACATATTCCTGGCAAAGCAGACAGCCTGTGCAAAGGCCCTGGGGCATGAGAGCAATGAGATAAAGGAGCTCCATCCAGGTCTCTCACAGCACTTGGGGTAGAATTTCACGTCTTTTGCCCTGTAGCACCTCTCCCCTTGCATCCTCCCCCACAGCCTGGCCATGACCCCCTGGCTCACCAGCCTGGTCTCACTGGCGTCTGTCTGTCTGGGAAACAGGTCTGGATGTCCCCATTCTTCTGCTTGACTGATCTTGCTACGGCTGATTCCTTCCCAGCCTGTATCATTTCGTCTTAAGCGTCCCTCCTTAGAGAGGCCTCCCCAGACATCCCTTTAAAACCAGGGACTCCCTGGATTCTCCTCCAGGACCAAGGACGATGAGCTCTGATGCTCCACGGTGACCTTGGGCTGCCGGGTGTTTGTTACCTGCTTGCTCATTCAGTTGGTTATAGCTGAGGTCTAAGAACTTCAGGCCTGTGTGGGCCAGCAGGAGCTCAGCAAGATACCGGGCCGCCTGCTCCTCCAGCCCGTTTCCTGCCAGCCACAGCTTCTGCACACTCTGGTTCCCTGAGAGGCCGGCACAGAGAGCCTGGGCCCCTGCTGCTCCCAGCTGGTTCTCAGACAGGTCCACATCTGAGGGCCGACAGCATTCTCTGGTCAGTGGGACGCAGAGGCACAGGAGCCACCCTCCTCCACCTCCCTCCATTCCCCCAACCCTCCAGGCTGGAGGCAAAGGGAGACCCTGTGCGGTCGGACTGGTCTGGGGTTGCACGGTGGTCGTGTCCCCCATCAGCTGGGTCCCAGTGGACCCCTGATGCCTCCCTCCCTATGAGTCTATGAGCTGTTGTGTCAAGGGTTAAAAGCACCTGTCAGGTGGTGCTGTGGCAGAGGCGAGCCACCCCGCTGACAGCTGGCTCCCACAGCGACAGCAGCCACGCACAGAGGCCCCCACAGCCAGAGGCCAGCAGGCATCGGCCGGGTGGCCGAGCACAGGGCGCGCATGTGGATCAGCTGCTCGGCTGACCACTTCACAAACACAGTTTGGCTCCATGTTCACCACAACCCCGAGGGCTACGTGGTGTACTTGGAGCCATTTTGCAGGGTGGAAACCAAGGCTCTGAGAGTTCAAGTGGCTTGTGCATGTCACCCCACACAGCAGTGGCAGAGCCAGCATTTGGATTTGGCCCCACTGAACCCCTACCTTGTGTCCCCTCTCTCACCATGCCCACCCCATTCTCTCTGTCTCCAAAGACTCTCGCACCCCACACACAGGCACTGGGGGACCTCCAGATGCTGAGGTGCTGGCCAGCAGAGGAGGGGTTGGGTTGGGGTCCAGACTGGGTGCACTGCCGAGAGCCTAACTCCACCCCATGTGCCCCACCCTGTGATGAAGCCCCTCCCCCTGTCCCCAGCAGCACCAGCAGGGCCCAGATAAGAAGGCCTGGCTTAGGGGCTGTGTGTGGGACTGCATCTCTGAGCAATGGGAAGACTAAAGCCCGCCATCGGCCCTCAGCACAGCACCTACCACAGATGCTACTGGTTTTGCTCAAGGCACCTGCCAAGGCCTTTGCACCGGCCCCACGGAGTCCATTGTCCCGAAGATCCAGACGCTTGACGTAAGGGATGGAGGCCAATGTGGGAGCCAGGGCGCGGGCCCCCTGGGACGGAACACAGGGGTCTGAGGGGCCAGACACAGCTGCCCACTACCCAGCCTCATATACCCAGGGCTCGGTCCATTTGACGCCTTGCAACTGAGAACTGTCCCCTTCCCATGTGCCGTCTCCCAAGGGACCCCTGCTTCTCCTTCCATAAGGCACCCCAATCTCACATCCTGGAACCAGGCTCCCCAGCCCTCTCACTGATCCGTCACAGCCTCGGTCCCAGGTCCCTGGCACAGAGGAAGTGGGGAATGTGGGTTGGACTCAGGTGTGGGATGGGCTCATGGAGGGGCACTCCCGCTGCTCTTGTCTCCTGGGTCCTTCCTCTCCAAGCCTGGCCCCGGGTTTCTTCCAGGGGTACCTGGGGCCCCAGGCCACGGTGCCGCAGGTTCAGCTCTGGGGTGTTCCCTTGGCGCAGAAAGCAAGAAGCAGGCACAACGCCATGGGCCCGGCAAGACCTCAGGTAGAGGGTGTCTCTGGCGAGTTCTCCACTCCCAGGGGTGCCTGAAAGAAGACAAGAGGACCACGGTGGACTCCCTCACAGGTCAGCCACCTGCCTCCTCCCCTGCCCTCTGTGATTGAACAGCCTTTGTTTCCCGTGCTAGTGGGACTGATTGTTCCATATTACAGATGAGCACATGGGGGCTCAGAGACAGCAAATCCCTTCCCCAGAGTCGCCCAGGCAGTCAAGAGTCAGGATAGGATTAGGATTAGATCCCGCCTGCCTGTTGTGTCTTCCTCACCTCCTCCTGCCCCCCCAGTGCAGACCACCAGTGTTTTACGGACAGCTGTTGGGGTGGGGTGGTGGGCTGGACACTGTAAATTCTATCTATCAGCTTAGTTCTTCCTGCGGGTTCAGACAACCCAGCTCTAAATCCATCTCAGGGCGGGATCCCCCTTCGGAGCACTGTTCGTGCACTCTGCGTTTAGGCGTTGTTCTAGAAATGGTCCAGCCGGGGAGAGCGCGGGGCCGCGGGGGCCACCGGCTGTCCGGAAGGGGCCCCATGCCAAGATCCGCTCCTGACGGAACAGGGGTCTCCAGCGCGCCCCCCGCCCCACCACGGAAGAAGCTCTCAAATGAAACAAGTCTGCTCCCACCCCCCAAGTCTAGGGGGCACCTGCTGTCTCCAGATCGGAGTCCGAATCCGGGCCCTCCTCGGCCTCCCTGAGCCCTGCCACACGCCCAGCGCCCGACACCCGCTCTTTGTCCCGCTCTTCATCTTCTCCAGGTCTCTCACAAGGACCCCTAATCGCTGCGTCCATTCCGCAAGCTGCCAGAGGCTGGGAGAGCGCGTTGCGTCGCGTCGCGCCTAGAACTCTGCCCGGGGATGTGGGCGGGCCCTGTGGCAGCACTGACCAATAGAATATGGCGTACGGCGAACGGGTTCCCTCAGCAGCCAATAGCGATGCTCCTCCCGCCTCCCGGGCGCCGGTCGCCCCGGCAACCGGGTGTTGTAGGTTGCGGACCTACGACACCCGGTTGCGCTGCCTCCCCAGGGCGGCTAAGACCCGCGCGGCTGACCAGGCAGAAGGCTGGGTGCCTTGCGGGCGTTTGTTCTTCCCGCCTCCCTGTGAGGTTCAGCAGCGCCCCCCTTTATGGACTGGGAAACACGCCTGACTCCCCAACATTGCTTGTTGACCTTCAGAATCTGCACGCTCAGCGGTCACTTCTTCCTGGTGCCCTCCGGGGACACGAGAGGACAGCCCCCTTCTGGGCTCCTGCAGCCCCCATGCCCTCCTCTCACGGCACTTAGAACACCTGTCATTCCCTATCTCAGGCACGGAACTGCTCCTCTCTGCTCCCAGGGCCCCACAGAGGGACTCTGCAGACGATGGGAGACCCAGGGCAGCTGGGGCTTGGGACTGAGCCCAGAACTCTTGGTCGAGGCTGGTGTCCCTTTAACAGCGTCTGGCCTGGCCAGCCTGTTCAGCTGCCTGCAGCTGCCGTGCTGACTCATGTGTCCCGGCAGCCGGCAGAGGCTGAGAGCATGGGCTCCCGGGGGGCTGTGGCTTACTGGGGGCTTCTGGATTACAAGACGGAGAAGTATGTGATGACCAGGAACTGGCGGGTAGGCGCCCTGCAGAGGCTGCTGCAGCTGGGAGTTGTGGCCTATGTGATAGGGTAAGAGAGACTGGCTGCTGGCCAGGTTGGCACGAGGGATCAGGGCTGGTCCTGCGGGGTTGAGACTGGCTCTCTAGGGGCCTGGACTGGTTGGTGTAGGGGTGGCAGGCGGGCAAGAAAAGCGATCCATCCATCCAGAGGCCAGTGGGATACAAGAGCGAGCTGCCCGTGTGGGTCCTGCTGCCTCACCAGGGCCTTGTCCCCAGCCCTGTGCCATTGCTGTGGGTGCAGAGTAGAATTGGCTGCACTGCAGGGCAGGGGTAGTCCAGGGACACCAGCAGCTCTGGCTGGGGATCCTCTTTAAGGAGGGAACTGGGCATGTGGGGTGATGGAGAAGGCTAGAGAGCAGGCAGGGACTCGCAGTACTGGGTTGGCAGCCTGTAGAATATGTGTGTGTGTGGGGAAGGGGGCTGAGTGTGTAGGGCCCAGTCCTGCCACGCTGTTCCAGTGTGCCGGGGACACACAACCCTGCCTGTCACCTCCTCCCCAGGTGGGCCCTCCTCACCAAAAAAGGCTACCAGGAGCGGGACCTGGACCCGCAGATTTCCGTCATCACCAAACTCAAAGGGGTTTCTGTGACCCAGATCAAGGAGCTGGGTAACCGGCTGTGGGATGTGGCTGACTTCGTGAAGCCACCGCAGGTGGGTTGCCGCGGTGCTGCTGCCCTAAGAATCTGGGAATGCATAGGCAGGGGCCAAGGGGACCGGGATCGGGAGGCAGGCCCTGAAGCTGCTTTGACAAAGGCTGTGTCTAGAAAGGAGCAGAGAGTCCAGAACGCTGAGACTTGAGCTCCTGGTACAGTGGGAGGCCAGGGCCTGGAGCTCCTTGTAGCGCCCATCCGTGACCTGGGGTACCGCCGTCAGGTGTGCCCCTCCCAGCCTTCCATCTCCCACCAGCTCGTCCAGGGTGCCCAAATTGTCACCCCACTGCCACGACCAACACACCTGCCCCGGCCAAGGGCAGCTGCCTTCTGCGGTCCAACCATGACCCATGACAAATCACTTCCCCTCTCCTGGCCTGGCCTGTCTTTATCCAGTGAGGGCTGTGACACCCACCTGTGCCAAACCCAGACCCACAACCTAACCACAACACCTTCCTATTCCTCCCAGCAATTTTTTAAAGATTTATTTATACCTTTGAAAGTCAGAGTTACACATAGAAAGAAGAGATAGATAGAGAGGCAGAGAGATAGAGATAGGGATAGAGATAGAGATAGAGATAGAGATAGAGATAGAGATAGAGATAGAGATAGAGATAGAGATAGAAGAGAGAGAGAGAGAGAGAGAGAGAGGTCTTCCATCTGCTGGTTCACTCCCCAACTGGCTGCAACAGCCAGAGCTGCGCCAAACTGAAGCCAGGAGCCAGGAGCTTCTTCCAGGTCTCCTACGCAGGTGCAAGGTTCCAAGGACTTGGACCATCTTCCACTGCTTTCCCAGGCCATAGCAGAGAGCTGGATCGGAAGTGGAGCAGCCAGGACTTGAACCGGTGCCCATATGGGATGCTGGCACTGCAGGCGACGGCTTTACCTGCCACGCCACAGCACCAGCTCCTCTCCCAGCACTTTTCACTGCCACCTCTCCAGTGCCTGGATGAGACTGTGGTCTCCTGGCGGCCCTTCACTTCTCCCCTCTGCCCCTAAGTGCACGTCGCACAGCAGCTGGATTCAAGTTTTACCCTGGATAGCATCACACAGCCTGATAATCGCATCTGCTTTCTAGCTGCTCATGGCAGGGTTGGGGAACGTCCAGTCCATGGGCCTCAGGTGGGACTTGGAATTCAGTACGTGGGCAGTGGGCTGATTTTTAAGTTGATCATTTTGTGCAGTCCGTGAATAATGTTGTTATAAATATCCAAGTCCCTCCCATGCCGGCTGCCACCCAGGCCCTCCGTGACCTCACTGCTGCCACGTCCTGCCTCCCTGTGCCCTCGTCACTGCCCCTTCCTAGGGGTACAGTCCCCAAGTACATGACACTGGGGCGCTGGCCCCCTCCCTGCGCATCTTTGGCCCCCCAGGCAGCGGTCTCCATGTGTTCTCTTAGTCCTTGCTGTCCCAGTGCTGCCTTGCGTGTGATGAAGGCCCAGTCCCCTCTCGCCTGGGAGGGTGCCTGGCCCAATACACCTCTGTGTCTCCAGTGCGTAGGAGCAGGAAGGGCTCTCGGCAAATTCTGGTTGGGTAGATGACGGTGATCATGAGAAATAATCTTTCTCTTTTTAAAAAAATATTTATTTATTTGAAAGACAGAGTTACAGAGAGGCAGAGGCAGAGAGAGAGAGGTCTTCCATCCACTGGTTCACTCCCTAGATGGCTGCAATGGCCAGAGCTGGGCCAATCCAAAGTCAGGAGCCAGGAGCTTCTTCCAGGTCCCCCCTGCAGGACCAGGAGCCCTAGCACTTGGGTCATCTTCTACTGCTTTCCCAGGCCATAGCAGAGAGCTGGATCAGAAGTGGAGCAGCCGGGACTCGAACTGGCGCCCACATGGGATGGAGCATGGCCCCGAGAAGGCATCTTGTCTCCCAGAGAGGGACCTAGGCATCTGCCACCACCTGCCTCATCAGAGGCACTCTCTCAGGGCATGGGGCCCAACCAGGCTACCAGCTTCTGTCTTCTCCAGTGGATGCAGCCACGCGGGGGCTAACCCTGAGACTCACCTCCTAGGGAGAAAATGTGTTCTTCTTGGTGACCAATTTCCAGGTGATACCGGACCAAGTTCAAGGCAGATGCCCAGAGGTAAGCTTGCCCAAGAGCTTTCCAGTGGGTCTCTACTTCTCCTTCCACGGGAAGGTGGACCAGAAACACAGAGTATCCAGGCAGGCACTCTGACATGGGATGCGGGTGTCTCAAGTGGTGTGATGCCCACCCCCTTTTATTTGCATCCTCCAGCTTTTCCATGTGCCCCCAAGCTCAGGGTACCCTTGGAGGCTAAAGGAGGGAGACAGCTGAGACATCGCCCTGGGCCCTTGGTGACTCTGCTCTCTCACCCACCTCAGCATCCCTCTGTCCCGCTGGCTAATTGCTGGACCGACGAGGACTGCCCTGAAGGGGAGACAGGGACATACAGCCATGGTAATGAAGACTCCATGTGTCTCCCTGTTCCATCTATACCACCCTCCTCCCCACTACCCAACACCCACCCTGGCTCCTGTAGAAATTTCAGAGCCTAGAATTCATCTTGTGTTTTCAAGGCATCAAAACGGGCCAGTGTGTGGTGTTCAATGGGACCCACAAGACCTGTGAGATCTGGGGCTGGTGCCCAGTGGAGGGTGACACCGTGCCTAAGTAAGTCTCCCACCATCCCTCCAGGCAGCCCTGGACCCCTAGGACAGGGCCCCCCCCCCGGGGGGGGGGATGGGATGGGTAGTGTCTTTCACCCCTCTCCTCCACCTGCAGGAGGCCCCTGCTGGTCCAGGCGGAGAACTTCACCCTGTTCATCAAAAACACCGTGACCTTCAGCAAGTTCGACTTCTCCAAGTGAGTGTGAGCAGGTCCCAGCTGGCCCCAGACCCTCTAAGGCTGGCCCCCCACCCCACCCCACCGCTGCCTTGTCTGATCCCCTCCTGGTCCCTCCCAGATCCAATGCCTTGGAGACCTGGGACACCAACTATTTCAAACACTGCCGCTACCATCCACACTCCAGCCCCTACTGCCCCGTGTTCCGCATCGGGGACCTTGTGGCTGAGGCCGGGGGAGACTTTGAGGACTTGGCGTTGCTGGTGGGTCTGTGATGGGGGCAGGGTGCTGGGAGGGCTCCAGGCGCTCCGGCTGCTGGAGCAGGGGTCGCTGTGTGCAGGGCGGCTCCGTGGGCATCAGCATTCACTGGGATTGCGACCTGGACGCCGGGGGTTCAGATTGCTGGCCCCACTACTCCTTCCAGCTGCAGCAGAGGAGCTACAACTTCAGGTGTGGCCCCTCCCCCACTGCCCTCAGTGCACATGTGTGTCTCCCTCCCCCTGTGTTCCTGTAGGGGCTAGGACAGCCTGCAGCCAGGGCCCAACTCTCTGGATGCTCCACTGTGTGGGCATGCTCTCAGCCCCAGGGCCCCCAGCACAGGTCCTCTCTGGTATCCCCCTGAGCCCTCCACCCCCTCCATCCCCACCCTGCGCCCAGTGTGGACCCTGGCACAGCCCCTCCTCCACCTGACTCTGGCATTTTCCCTCCAGGGCACAGGGGCCTTTCATTTCTGTCTAAAACATTCCTTCTGTTTTATCCAAAAATTTCCCAAAGCCTACAGCAAACTTTAAAGATTGATACCATGAACCTCCTCTGGACTAACTGGGATTTCTGTTGGTTTTGTTTTACCATGGATTGTGCCAATAACAGTCCTACATCTGTTTTCCAAGGATGCACTCGACAGATCTCAAAGTGCCTTTATTATCATGTCTTGGATACCACACACTGCATACATGCATACCGCATCGTACATGTGCACACGCATGTGCCCATACACACCAGTGTACACAAGGCCACCAGGTTTGGGGAAGATACCCTTTGACGTAGATCATCGTGCCCTGCCTGTTGTCGGCTAACCCAGCCCTTTGTAACCACATGGGGGTGGCTCCCCCAGTGCTGCACTTCCTCGGCCACATCCTGGGAGGGGGTTCATTTCCCTCCAGTTCCTGGGGAAGAGTGAGTTCCCCACCCCGGGGGAGCCCTGGGCCTGCCCCCACTCCAACCTGCCTTTCGTTTCCCATCCCCGGTGTGTGCTAAGGGCCCCTTCTGTTCCCTTGAGCCCTCAGCAGGCAGGGAGAGGCAGGCCCTGGTTTGCTTTCTTCCATGCCCTCAATCATGGCAGAGGGCCAGGACTCAGGCATGAGCTTGGGGTTCCTGGAACCAATGGATAAGTAACACCTGGGAGGACCAGCCTGGCCTGGACGTGCACAGAGTAGGTGACCAGGGCCCCCTCTCTCCTGCCCCCAGGACAGCCACTCACTGGTGGGAGGCTTCAGGTGTGGAGGCCCGGAGCCTGCTCAAGCTCTACGGAATCCGCTTTGACATCCTCGTCACTGGGCAGGTAGGGACTGGGCTGGGACGCGGTGTGTGTGGTGGCGGGGGACAGACAGACATGGCTGGAGGAGGCGTGGGCCATTGTCATAGGCCTCGAGCCTTAGCCCAGCCCTCTGTCAGGCAGGGAAGTTCGGGATCATCCCCACGGCCATCACAGTGGGCACGGGAGCTGCAGGGCTCGGCGTGGTGAGTGTGACCGCTGTCAGAGCTCCCTCTGGCTGCAGCCAGCATTGCTCCAGTCTGCTGAGCACACTGACTCCGGGTGAGAGCTGGGGAGATGGCAGGAGGGCTGGCTGAGGGACCAGGATGGGGGTTGTCCCTGCCTCTTGCCCAGGTCACCTTCCTCTGTGACATGCTGCTGCTGTATGTGGACAGAAAAGCCCATTTTTACTGGAAGAAAAAGTATGAGGAGGTGAGCGTGGGCCTGCAGCTCGGGCTGCATGGCTGGGTCTCCCCCAACCCCACCTCCGGGTTCTGCGCCAGCGGGACGGGGAGCAGGGAGGGGATGCTGGGTCCTTGACCCATTGTCTTTGACCATAGGCAAAAGCCCCAAAGATGACTGCCAAGCCCGCATGGATCAAACCTGCTTTCTCACTCGGAGCCCGGCCGCCCAGGTGCCCAAGGCAGGCCTCAGCGCCTGCCCCCAGGCCAGCCCATTCCTGAGCCTGTACTGTCCCCTGCTTGGGTGCTTGGGGGTTGGGGCCCTGCCTGGGGGACCTCAGGGACAAAGCCCCTATAGGAGTGTGGTGGGGGGAAAGGGAAGAATTCTCCTCCAACTCCTGGACTGACCGTCCCTCTGGGGCCTGGGGAAACACAGAAGCCACGTTTTTGTTTGGAGGAGAGCAGTGGAGATGGGGTCGGCCATGGAGACGGTGACAGGTAGAGGGCCACCCCTCCCCCAGCTGATGAGTGCCAGGCAGTGGGGCCAGAGTTGGCAATCCTTGGCTCCTTGGGGACCTCCTATATGCCTCTTTGGAGACCCCCAACTCCTTAGAACCTGCACACCACCGGAGTTCCGGCACCCTAGGGGTGGGAGACTGTTCGTCTGGGGTTCATTGCACTCTGGGTCACATCTAGGAACCTGTCAGGGCAGCTGCCCACTCTGCCTGTGGGAGGTCCTGACCCTGACCTTGGGCAGAGCAGAGTGGCTGGATGGAACGTCCCCAATACAGGACATAGAGCTCCTCCTCAGGCTGGCCAGGTTCTGGCACTGGAATCCCCCTGGTGTGGGGGGGGGGGCAAGTCCTACCAATCTCCCTGTGCCCCCCAACCCATGGTCCAAACTCTCACTTGATCCCAGCGTGGGGCAGGGATTTGGGGGGTACCCACCCCAGAGAGGTGAGGGGCTGCCTTCTCCTGCTGGGGAGGGCACCTGCGAGGGGTGGAGTCACCTGGGGCTTGCATCTGGACTTTTCTGGCACTTGCAGCCTCTGCAAAGCCCTTAGGCTCCCTGCCACCTTCAGTCCCCTGAGACTCATCTCTAGGGAAGCAGGCTCTGAGGGGCTGGGCATGGGGCGAAGCCTCCTGGTTCCTGGAGGCAGGTCACATGGCCCCATCATCCTCTGGGAAAGCGGACGTCACTGCTGGAGTAAAGTGTGCCAAAGCCAGCAGCTTCCTGTGTCATCCTTGCGGGCCGGGATAGGAAGGGGACACGCCAACTGTGGCTACAGGACAGCCCCCGGGGAGGGAGTGCAGGGCGGGTGTGAGGTCTTCTGGGGCTCTCCCTTTTCCCTTTGCACTTGGAGTCCCCCAGCCAGCAGCTGGGCTGGAAGGCAGCTGGAGCAGGCCCAGCTTCTCACGTACCTTGTGCACATACATGTCTACTGGACACGTGTGTCCCCTCCTGAGCCTTTATGCCAAAGCCCTGGCAGAGGGGTGTAGAGAAAGAGAGACAGAGACAGCAAGAGCATAGGCTCTGGGCACCCAGGCTTTGAAAGCTGCTGGTTCAGTCCCCACGCAGATGTGCAGCTAAGTGGATCAGGTGGGCACAGGCACCTGGGTGTGCCTTGATGTCCCTGGACAGCCCTAGGGCACACGCCCTGCTCTCTGGGAGCCCTGGGAGACCAAGGGAACCCCAGAACCCAGCTGCCCTTTCTGGGTAGCCTCTTTGAGGGGCCTAGGCCTTGTACCCTGAGTCAACCCTCTAAAGGGGCATGTCGGGAGAGCTATCATGGACACCTCGTGCCTGCTGTGCGTGGCCCCTCTTTGAGCCAGGCAGAGGGCCCTGGCTCCTGACTCAGGGTGGTCCCAGGGTGGGTGGCCTCCGCTTTGCCGAGCCGCAGCATCTTCGCTGTGGACTGAGCACAATCTCACGGTTCCGACACGCACAGGTGAGGAGGACTCAGTGCCACAAAGAATGTCAGGGCGGACTTGGCGGTGGGCCGCGTATCTGGCCGAGCAGTTCTTATTCTGCATCCCTGAGGCGGCTGGCCTCCTCTCCCACCACCCACTCCCTGCCTGCCCAGGTAGCGGGAGTTGATCAGAAAAAAAGGAAGGTGTCAGGTGATGAGACAGCTACACCAGGGGCTCAACCCCTGGGCTGAAGTCCTGAGGCTTCTGCCCCACCCCCCACCCCCGCCCCATCCGCAATCCCCGGCAGGCCTGCACACTCAAGCTGCCCTGGACAGAAGAAGCTCCCCCCACCAAGCCCTTCAAGCCTCCCGATGCAGTGGGGAAGGCAGGGAAGGCATGGGCAGTCCTCGCTGGCCTCCCGCACTGGCCAGCTACTCCGTGCAGCCAGGCTCGTGGGCTGGCGCCTGGCCGGGGGGCTGCACGGGCTGCACGGACTCCTCCAGGCTGCTGCTGGGGAACACCACGTAGCGAGTGGTGATCGGCCCCGGTAACTCCCGCTGGTTCTCCTTGCTGTGCCTGATGCCATAGCCGAAATACACGACGAGTCCTGCATGGGCCGGGGGAAGCGGGCAGTGGCATGAGCCTGAGGGGGCAGATCCCAGCCCTCCTGGCCCTCCCCCTGCCGTGCCCTGGAAGCCCACCAGGCTGGCTCCCACTCACCGATCAACAGCCAGATGGAGAAGCGTAGCCAGGTGAGGTAGCTCAGCTTCAGCATGAGGCAAATGTTCAGGAGGATGCTCAGGGCTGGCGTGAGGGGCACCAGGGGAATCTGGAGGGGCACACGCGTGGGGCTGAGCAGGGCTGCAGGCCCGGGCTCCCTTCTGTTTCACTTGGCCCCGCGCCAGGCAGAGGGAGAGTGGGGCGCGGGTGGGAGAGAGGGGGCATAGATGCCCTGCCCCTCCACGAGTCCTGGTGCATTCTGGGATGGCAGAGGAGGAGGAGGACGGGGTGGAGGGAGCGGTACCTGGAAAGTGTCCTGCCGGTGCTGCTGCTGGTGGACCCCCAGGACCAGGAGGCTGAGCAGAAACACGGTGCCGCTGAGGAGCAGCAGCAGGAAGTAGCCCCAGCGTGGCAGGCTCAGGGCCGAGTCCCCGAAGACCACCACGCAGTCCAGGATGATGGCTGAGGCCACCAGGAAGCCGAGCGCCCAGGTTACGGCGGCTCCAGGGCCGCATCCGCCCAGGAAGCCCAGGTAGGGCTTCAGGGCCGGTCGCAGGTGCCCAGGCTCAGCCACCGAAGCCTGAGCGGCCTCCACCAGCTGGATGTGGTCCGAGAAGGAGTCGTGCTGCTTGCCCAGGGGGCCAGGGACTGGCCGGGCCGGGGGAGCTGGGCGGGGAAGTCTTTTGGAAACGCAGCACGATGATGCTAGCAGCCACGAAGGTGTAGGCCAGCAGGGTGCCGATGGACAGGAACTGGACCAGTGCCTCCAGGTCCAGCAGCAGTGCCAGGAGAGCCATGAGGACCCCGAACACCAGGATGCCAACCACGGGCACCTGTGTCCGGGAGTGCACGCGGGCGAACACCTGGAAGAACAGCCCGTCGGCCGCCATGGCGTAGACGATGCGTGGCAGGGAGAAGAGGTTGCTGAGCAAGACGGTGTTCATGGCTGTGGCAGAGAGTGGGGAGGGTCAGTGTGGGGGGTCTCTGCTGGGAGCAGGTGCATGGGGAGCCCCTTGGGAACATGGGTTGAGTGGTCGCTGTCTAGGTGCTCACAGCATGCGTGTGTATGTGTGGGGGGGTGTGCTGGATTGTCAGCCCTCAACCCGGAAATGGGCACCCAGTTTAGGCCGTCATGGGAGAGTCTGATGGCAGCTGAGTCCCTCTGCCCAGAACTGACATTCTGTGTATAATCTTGTCAGAGGAGCCCCGCCCCCGACTCCCAACATGCCTTGGTAGAGAGTGGCACTTCCCTGGGCCCATTATACAACTGGCAAAACTGAGGCCCAGATGGAAGTGTGTTCCCTGGAAGGCTCTGGGTCCCTTACCGCAGATGGAGCCAGCCGCCACGATGAAGCCAGCCCAGCTGTAGCCCCGCCGGTAGAAGGCGTCAGCGAGGGCTGAGTCGGGATCCAAGCTGTGCCAGGGCACCATGAGGGTGAGCACGGTGGAGACGAGGATGTAGGCACTGGCTGCCAGGCTGAGGGAGATGGCGATGGCGATCGGCACGGCCCGCCGCGGGTTCTGGGCCTCCTCGCTGGAGGCAGCAATGACGTCAAAGCCCACAAAGGCGTAGAAGCAGGTGGCGGTGCCGGCCATGATGCCGGAGAAGCCGAAGGGTGCGAAGCCGCCCTCCTCGGCGCTCCAGTTGCGGGGGCGGGCCAGGATGAAGCCCAGGATGACGATGAAGAGGATGACCATCAGGCTGATGGCCGAGAAGGTGTGGTTGAGCCAGGAGGACACCCGGGCACCGCAGGAGACAAAGGCAGAAGCCAAAAGGAGGATGCCGGCTGCCAGGAAGTCTGGGTAGTGGGCCAGGAAGGGCACCTGCCAGACGCCCACGTGGGTCTCGGTGAAGTTGCGGATGCTGTGGCTGAACATGGCATCCAGGTAGCCACTCCAGGCACGGGCCACCGCGGCGCCACCAATGAGGTATTCCAGGAGCACATTCCAGCCGATGAGGAAAGCCCACAGCTCACCCATGGACACGTAGGTGAACAGGTAGGCAGAGCCTGTTCGGGGTACGCGAGCTCCAAATTCTGCATAGCATAGGGCAGCCAGCAGCGAGGCCACGGCGGCCACGGCGAAGGACAAGAGCACGGCAGGGCCAGCCATGTCCTTGGCCACCGTACCTGTGAGCACATAGAGGCCCGAGCCTACCATGCCACCCACGCCCAGCAGGGTCAGGTCCAGTGTGGACAGGCAGCGGCTCAGCGAAGTCTCCATGGTGGACTCCTCCAGCGGCTTCAGCCGGTTCAGCTTCTGGCAGAGGCGTGCCAGGCTGGCGGCGCTGGGCAGCCCCCGGGCCATGGCAGCTGGCAGAGAGGAGCACCACACTCACCACACCACACTCACTGCTGGGCGACCTATCAGGGACAAAGGGGAGTGACAGGCTGCCCGCCCAGGTTCTGGCCAGCCCCCAGTCCTCTCTGTATCCCCGCTATGGGGATTCCCGCTGCTCCCCGCCTCCCCCCAGGGTACCTGCACCTGCCGGAAGGCTGAGATGGGGCCCTGCCAGGGCCTGCGGGGAGGGAGAGGTCCCGTCTGCCTCCAGGGTAGCCAAGGGGGCATGTGCAGACTGGCGCCAGCTCGGCAGCCCTGAGGGTGGGGAGGAGGCAGCCCCAAAGGAGCAAGAGGCTGCGGACAGCTCAGTGGTCTGAGATCCATGAGCCAGGTGAAATCGGAGGCTTCCCCGGGCTCCCGGCCAGGCCGTCAGGACCCGGAACAGGAGCCGCTCTGCAGACCGGGGCGTGGCCCAGGCGGCCACCTGGCCTCAGACAGCACGGTCACCCCCCTCCACTGCCAGGCTGAGGCATCAGCGCACCCAGCACACACAGATGCGAGAGGTGGAGGGGCGGGCAGCGGTTCCCCGGGCCCTGATTCCCGGAGCAGCGGCTCCGAGCAGCTCCCTGCGCCCAAACACCATCGGCGCCAGCTCCGCGCGCCCCTGTCCGCAGTTACCCAAGCCTATTCCCGCTACTGGGCCTGAGCCCGTCCGGGCAGGAGCCGCTGCAACCCACCTGCTGTCGTGGCCGCCGCCGCCGCTCTGCGTGCTGCGCCTGCCCCGCCCGCTGGCACCGCCTGCGCGCAGGGCCCGCCCCCACCTCCAGGGACTGGATCCAGCGCGCTTGGCTCCGCAGCCCCTAGACCCCGCCCGGTGCGGCACAGAGACCCACCCACCGCCACACACCCAGACAATCCACCCTACCCATAGATCACTCAGTTCTATGGAAACCCCAGCCTATAACACAGGAGGAAGCCCCAGATCATGTCACTGGGCAGGGTCCACGGCTGGGGGTAGCCAGCGCCCCTACCTGGGCCTGCAGGAGATACGTGCTTTACCTGTCAAGCCGACACGTGTTTGTCACTCACCCTGGTACCAAGCAGCCCTCCTCGCCCTCTCCCTCCCCAGCCATGGCGCTGTGGGCTCTGTGAACTTCAGGTGCAATGAAATGGGGGGGGGGGTGGTTTTGGCTGAGTGGCCCTGGGCAATCCCTGGCCTCTCTCCTCTAATGGCATGGCAGGAAGCCAGGGTCACACATCTTGGCGAAAGAGTACACCCTTTGGAGAGTGTTCTGTGAATGAGTGACTCACACCCACTGTTCTGCGTCTCCAGGTACAACGTGTGTTCCTCAAAGCAGCCTCCTAATAGAATCTTCAGCCCGCTGGTGGGGCCACCCCTGGGGCCTCACAAGCCATCAACAGCTTCTTCGACCCTGGGAGCACCTGCCAGGCCTGGGAGCACCCGCAACTCAGGGGTACTGATTTCTCCATGTCAGGCCCCGTGCCTGGGGCTTGAGTCCCGGGGCCCCACCAGGTGCCCATCACAGACTCCCCACCACTCCTTCCTCCCTGGAGCCATTTCTTGGAAAATGAAAGAGTTAGTGTGACAGGATGTTAATAAACGATAATAACTCAAGGCGAGCAAAGACCCATGCAGGTACACATGCTACAAACCAGCACGCCATATACATTTTGAGGTTTGTGCGTGGTCGTGGAATCAGCTATATCGTAGGGGCACCTGCAAGCCTGCCTGGCTTGATGGCCTGGTGACAGGGTGGTGGACTCTCAGATGACCCCAGGGCCACTTGGTCAACACCCTGGATGACATCCAACATTTTGCTGGTACTGCTTTGAGGAGCTTCTCAGAAAGGCTCTCGCTTCCTGTGGACCTGGCATATCCCCTACCCTCCCCCTGTGTTGCCTGAACTTAACTTAGCAGATGTCCCTTGTCCTGAAATGCCTTCACAGAAGTCTAGAAAAATGCATTTCAGACCAAGAGGCTTGGGCAATTCTGCATGGAGACTTCCCCCAAGGTCTTACCTCTGATTGGCTTATCATGTGTTTGGAGCACTTTTTTTTTTTTTTTTTTTTTTTTTTTTTTTTTTTTTTGACAGGCAGAGTTAGACAGTGAGAGAGAGAGAGACAGAGAGAAAGGCCTTCCTTTTTCCATTGGTTCTCCCCCCAAGGGACCGCTACAGCCGGCGTGCTGTGCTGATCCGAAGCAAGGAGCCAGGAGCTTCCTCCTGGTCTCCCATGCGGGCGCAGGGCCCAAGCACTTGGGCCATCCTCCACTGCCTTCCCAGGCCACAGCAGAGAGCTGGACTGGAAGAGGAGCAACCGGGACAGAATCCGGCGCCCCAACCAGCACTAGAACCCAGGGTGCCAGCACCGCAGACGGAGGATTAGCCAAGTGAGCCATGGTGCCAGCCTGGAGCACTTTTTAAAAAAAATATTTTATTTATTTGAAAAACAGAGTTACAGAGAAAAGTAGAGACAGAGAGAGAGAGGTCTTCCATCCGCTGGTTCACTCCCCAGATGGCTGCAACTGCCGGAGCTGAGCCGACCCGAAGCCAAAAGCCAGAAGCTTCTTCTGGGTCTCCCACGTGGGTGCAGGGGCCCAAGAACTTGGGCCATCTTCCACTGCTATCCCAGGCCATAGCAGAGAGCTGGATCAGAAGAGGAGCAGCCAGGACTAGAACCAGTGCCCATATGGAATGCTGGCACTTCAGGCCAGGGCTTTAACCCGCTGTGCCACAGCGCCAGCCCCCACTTTTTTTTTTAAGATTTATTTATTTATTTGAAAGGCAGAGTTACAGAGAGAGAGAAAGGGACAGAGAGATCTTCCACTTAGCTGAATCACTCCCCAAGTGACTGCAACAGCTGGGGCTGGGCCAGGCCACAGCCTGGAGCAAGGAGCTTCAGCCTGGTCTCCCTCGTGGGTGGCAGGGACCACTTGGGCCATCTTCTGTTGCTTTATCAGGGGGCTTAGTCAGAAGTGGAACAGCCGGGACCTGGAATCAGTGCCACGTGGGATGCTGGTGTCACAGGTGGCAGCTTAACCCTCTGAGCCACAACACTGGGCCCACGGACCAGAGGACTGCAGGCACCAGCCCACAGCAAGCATTTGAGACCAAGCTTGGTTGATGCAGTGAATCGTATATTTCTAGGGACATGGCGGATCAAGTCCTGGGACCCCCTGAGCAGGGACCCCACTTACACCACGCAACAACCTCAGGCAAGTGCAAGAGGGAGAAGTAGCGGGGGGATGATTTCCAACTCACTCTAGGAAGCCAGGGTTACTCTGACACAAATCCGACCAAGAAACCTTACAAGAAAAGGAAGCTACAAGGCTAATATCCAGGGCCAGCGCTGTGGCATAGTGGATAAAGCTGCCACCTGCATTGCCAGCATCCCATAGGGGCGCCGGTTTGAATCCCGGCTGCTCCACTTCTGATCCAGCTCTCTGCTGTGGCCTAGGAAAGCAGTAGAAGATGGCCCAAGTTCTTGGACCCCTGCACCTATGTGGGAGACCCAGAAGAAGCTCCTGGCTCCTGGCTTCGGATCAGCGCAGCTCCGGCCGTTGCAGCCATCTGGGGAGTGAACCAGCAGATGGTTTACTTTCAAGTAAAATTTAAATATCTTTGAAAAAATTATTTATTTATTTGAAAGAGGGAGAGGGAGAGGGAGAGGGAGAGAGAGAGAGAGGGAGAGAGAGAGAGAGAACTTGGACTATCACCCATTGCCTTATCAGGTGCACTAGCAGGAAGCTGGATAGGAAGCAAAGTAGCCAGGACTGGAGCCAGCCCTCTAATATTGCCTGTGTCGTAAGCAGTGGCTTAAACCCACCGCACCACAATGCCGGCCACAGGCTGTTCACCCTCACCACCTGTATTAGCATTGTACTGGAGGTTCTAGCCGGGGGAAAACGAAACAAGAAAAGGAAATAAGAGGAATCTAAATTGAAAAGGAAGAAGTCAACCATCCCTACTCACAGACTACATGATCACTATAGAAAATCCTAAGGAATCTACGAAAAGAAAAAAGAAAACACCAAAACCTGGGATTGGCATTGTGGTGTACTGGGTTAAGGAGCAGACTGACACACCCTTATGCGGGTTAGGAGCGTCTGGGCTGGACGGCTGCCTTTGCCTCCGATCCAGCTTCCTGCTAACGCACACTCTGCCAAGCAGCAGGTGATGGCTCAGTGCTTGGTTTTCTGCCGCCCGCCCGTGTGGGAGACCTGCATGCAGTTCCTAGTTTGTGGCGCTGGCCTGGTCCAGCCCTGGATGTTGGCAGTCATCTGGGGAGTGAACTAGCAGATGGAAGATCCTTGCTTTGCCTTTCAGATAAATAAAAATTAACTTCTTAAAAAAAAAAAAAAACTATTAGAACTAACAAAAGCTCAACAAAGATGTGGGATACGAGATACGTGTTTCTATATCCCAGCAATGCACTATCCTAAAATGAAATTAACAGAACAATTCTATTCTACACATAGTGTCAAAAATAATAAAGTACTTAGAATAAATTCATTTATAAAAAGTCTTTGAGGGGCTAGTGTTGTGGCTGAGTGAGTTAAGCCACCGCCTATGATGTAGGCATCGCTTTTTTTAATTTTTTTAATTTTTTATTTTTTTTTACAGGCAGAGTGGACAGTGAGAGAGAGAGACAGAGAGAAAGGTCTTCCTTTGCCGTTGGTTCACCCTCCAATGGCCGCCGCGGCCGGCGCACCGCGCTGATCCGATGGCAGGAGCCAGGAGCCAGGTGCTTTTCCTGGTCTCCCACGGGGTGCAGGGCCCAAGCACCTGGGCCATCCTCCACTGCACTCCCTGGCCACAGCAGAGAGCTGGCCTGGAAGAGGGGCAACCGGGACAGAATCCGGAGGCCCAACCGGGACTAGAACCCGGTGTGCCGGCGCCGCAAGACGGAGGATTAGCCTAGTGAGCCGCGGCGCCGGCCCAATGTAGGCATGTCTTATGAGCACCAGTTCAAGTCCTGGCTGCTCCACTTCCCATCCAGCTCCCTGCTAATGTGCCTGGAAACACAGTGGAGGATGGCCCAAGTGCTTGGGCTCCTTCTACTTGCATGGGATACCTGGATGGAGTGCCAGGCTCCTGGCTTTGGCCTGGCCCAGCGCTGGCTGTTAAGGCCATTTGAAGAGTGGACAGTGAAGGGAGGTCTTTCTTTCTTTCTGTCTTTCTGTCTTTCTTTCTGTCTTTCTCTCTCTCTCTCTCTATCTCTATCATCTCTGCCTTTCAAATAAATAAGATAAATCTTTTTAAGGGCTGGCGCTGTGACACAGTGAGTTAAAGCTCCAGCCTGCAGTGCTGGCATCCCATGTGGGCACTGGTTCGAGTCCTGGCTGCTCCTTTTCCAATCCAGCTTCCTGCTGTGTGCTTGGGAAAGCAGCCTAAGATGGCCCTGAAGTCCTTGGGCCCTTTTATCCACCCAGGAGACCTGAAGGAAGCCCCTGGTTCCTGGCTCCTGGTTTCGGCTTGGCCCAGCTCCAGCTGTTGTAGCCATCTGGGGAGTGAACCAGTGGATGGAAGATCTCTCTCTCTCTCTCTCCCCGCCCCCTATGTGTGTGTGTGGCGGGGGGAGTGAACTAGCAGTTGGAAAATCTGTGTGTGTGTGTGTGTGTGTGTGTCTTCCTCTCTCCCTATTGCTCTGCCTTTCAAATAATCTTAAAAGGAGGAGGAGGAGGAGGACATGGAGCCGCCTGCAGCACC